AATTATGCAGAATGAATTTAAAAAAAATTTAATGAAATGAGAAAAGTCAATTTTATTTTATTTTCGGTAATGCACAAACAAAATGTGCATGTTGTCTGCCGAGTACCTTGACACATAAGTAGAATTTATTTATAAATAAAAGCAGAATGAGTGAAATAAAGCACATGGTTGTGTTACATTCTCAAAGCGAATATGATTGAGTCACAGCTATATGAGAGTAAAAATTGTGCTCAGCTGAGTTAAATTTCATTCATAAAATACTATAGAATTGTTTTGTTTTGCCGGCAAAACGTGAACAAGGCTTTGGATGTATGTGTGAGTTCAAGAGAGAGAATAAAATTAATTGAGAGCTTTTACGTACGCTGAGTATTTTTTGAGAGCAAGCTTTTTATCCTAAGTGCTGTATAAGAAATAATTTTTAGTTCAACTTTCAGTTTCTTGCTGTATTTCAACCTGATTGCACGGATACATATCTTAGGCATTATTCATTTAAAGTGTTTATGAGAAAAAATTTAAAAGATACAAAAATATTTAAAAGGTGATAGTGAAATTCTTGTTGAAATTTATATTGAGCAGTTCCGACCATAGATAATAGCTTGACAGCAAAATTAATTAAGATTATTTTTCTAATATAAAACTTACTTGATTTACTACTTACTTCCAAATGACAAATATAAAAATACTTTATAGTTAAATAAACTTAATTTTGTAACTAACGGTGTGAGTCAAAGTCATTGAAATTGTTATTTCTTTCGCGGTGTCAAGGCTGTCTATATCACAGTCTATACAATATTATTTTCGCACATTTGCTTGCTTTAACCTCTATAAACCTCAATTTTGTGTAAATTATTTACTCAAGAAAGTCAAAATGCTATTTTAATGGTACGATATGGTGAAAATAAGTATTTAATAATAATATTTTATTTATTGACATTCTTTTGTCTGTTACGCTCCTTAAAATTACTTTCTGTTACTCATCATTATTATTTTCGCGTGATATATGTGCACTGATACTAAAATTATATTCCTTATAAGTCAATAAAGAAATTTTCTTAATAATATTTAATTTATTGAATAAATTATTAAAATGATAATTTATGGCTGAAGAAGTGATGTAAGATGTGGGTTAAATTACAAATTACATGTGATTGAGGATATTTTTACCATCCTGATGTGTTTATGACCATTTAATAATCATCTTTATTTATTTTGGTTAAATATGTCATAAATCATGAATTCTTTTGGGATTTTTTTCGATAAGATCATTTGACATTTCGTGTAATACTTTATTGAAAGATGGAATAATGATTGACAATTTGAGGTGCACTTATCACAAGCTTTATCAAAAACTCTTCTTTTTCAAAGAATTAAAATAGTTTTCTGACTAAAAAGACGATCGAGGATCATTAAACGAGCAACCAGATGCATTAAAAAGCTTTCGATAAAGGTCTTTTAGACTTTTTCGTGGCTTTGCAATTTCTAGAGATGACAAGTGGTTAAGATTCCACCATAAACTGTAGGTCTAAAGCAGTGTTGTCCAAACTTTTTTGAGCCACGGCACACCTTAGGGGTAAGCCATTACAAAAATGCGGCTCGCGACATTTACAAAAAATTTCTACGGCACATAGTTTAGACAACACTGGTCTTAAGGGTGTGATACAAACGATTCTATACCAATTTAATTTTAGTACCTGCAACTTAAAAAGCTGGCCCTTTACCTGATTTATCATGCATGAAAACTAGAAATTCTCAAAAATTAGAAACATTTTTCATTTCTTTCTAATTGCAACAAAGCAGTGGCATAGACAGAAAGAACGTTTATGGGGAGAGTCTTATTAATCACCAAAATTTGGTTAAAATAACAAGACTTATTTAAAAACTAATAAATACTGAAGTTCTGGATTATTTACTGCATTCAAAGAAAACATTCGTAATGAAAATATGTCAAGTTAAAGAAATAAAATTTCTATTCCTTGCCAGAAATCTTGAGAAATTCTTTTTTTGTCAATTGCAATGATAGAGATCAGTTCTCAGTAAGAACTTAATTAATTCTAAAATCACATCGAATGTTTAATTAAATTTACTTTTCAAAAAGTTTAATATTCATTTTTTTAAGAAAACAAAATACAAAGCAGGACAGATTATAATCTTTGTATGAAAGATTATCAAAGATTATAATCTTTATATGAAGATTATAATCATCAAAAAAGAAAAGATTATAATCTTATTTAATCTTTCATACGGAGATTATTCAAGAAAAAAAATCTATTTATTTATATTCAAAGATTATAATCTGCGAGAACTTTGATACTAAGTGAATAAGAGTTCAAAGTCTAAAGACTGTTCATAAGTTTTTTCACAAAAAAAATTGACTCATTCCGTAAAATATTTGCCTGTTAATTACAAATTCAGCTCATAAATATTTTTTCCATGTTAAGTATTGTCGTTGACCCAAATTTTAGTCCATGATAAAAGTGAATAATAAGGGTTACAAATACTTAGACTCTTTGAAAAAAAAAATTTTGTTTGCATAACCTAGAACGCAAAAACAGATAGCTTGAGTTAATAGAATTTCAACAAGCAAAAAAAATCAATTTCTTCCCCAAATACCACATATTGATGAATTTTATTGACGCAGAGAAGATGACTGTTAATCCAACATTACAAATCACATGAAATCCATAGGAACCCTACAAAAATAATAATATTCATAAAAGGGATAAAATTGAATGTCAAATACAGTCTTATGTTAATCATACATATTTTTTGTTCGACAACTTCTTTTCTATTGATTATTATGTTGCTATGCATAGAATCTTAAACATCCTAATCTGAAAGTTCATTCAAATATAAATGAATTTCAAATATTACTATAAGAAAAAAACCAAAATGACAATTCTTTTCCGGTCTTAAGAAAATAACTCTTTTCGGTAAATCGATTTTTAAAGTATTTTATGGCAAGATGCACGATAAAATTCCTAAAATATTAAGCAAGGCTTAGTGTTCCATTTTATGCATCAATTTTCAATGTGGAAAATACATTGCAATAAATTGTTTATTTTCTGTCTTTTTTGTTTGGATGTTTTTTTTTTTTAAAAAAAAATTATTAACTTCAATGATGAGCAATTTAGCCACAACATTGGTCACAAAGATTTCAAAATGAAGCACCGAGGGGAGTAATCAGCTTATCTGAATTCGAATTTTGATTTGTACATTGCTTTAGCATATTATCGAAAGCGATTAAAATCAAACAAATGACTAATAAATTATGTAGACTCAAATAACAGAGCATCAAATAATAATATCAATTTTTAAGGAAGATTCCTTGATAATCCAATGAATTTTCAATTTTCTAGAATCTTTTTATTACCCGTTGTTGCCACAATTGTTTGCACATGTACGCCAGCTCCCACAACATGTTACATTTCTTTCTACACAAGTGCAATGTTATGTTCAGCATGAAACCCATTGTGCATCGATACAATATTTTTTTCTGCCTAGATTCTTCTCTTACTCTATTTTTTTTTTTTGTTCAATAAAAATACGATAACATAATAAAAGCTACAACAATCATCTATTCACGCGTGTTCAAATGGAAAGAAGGAAAAGCGTTATATCCTGTTGTGAGAAAGACTCTTGATATGCCTGTTAAGTTTCTAAACCACTCAACAATGTAGAAGAAAAGAATTTTCTTTACAACGTTCCATTTTATGTGTGCAATAGAGTAAAACATTCTTGCATAAAATTTATGTCACGAAAAAAAAAATTATTATTTCTGTATCATTAGTTATCGATCACGGAAACAGAAGAATTTTTCAAGCTACACAATTTCAAACTGTGGGAATTTTTATTGGAATGAGTATGGAGAAATGCTTCTTTTATCTGCAAATATTCTCAGACATTCATTATGATACATGATATCCTTATTTTACTATTATGATGTACAGAATGGAATATTTTATTTTCCGGACATTCTTTAAGGAAGAATCTGCATTTACGATAAGAAGAGGAAATGTAAAGCATATCAAATATCTAGGTTAAGCATTTATTGAATCTTCTAAACACGAATCAATCGAAATTCTAACAGCTGCGTGTAAAATCAGCAAACAGCTGATAAAATCATGAGTGCTGTGAGAAATTTGTAAATCTGCTCAATGATACTTTAATGGAATTTTGATTGATTGATAGAATGTCTCAAATATTGCGATTGTGCGTGAAGAAAATATTTGTCATTCCATATTTACAGAGTTTATTGACCGTTGCTAAATGTTTGATACGATTTTTATTACTTTATTTGCTGACAAACAAAAATGACGGAAGTAAATGTATCGTGTGTCAGATTTTCTTTGGATTTGGCGGAAATGTGATAAAAATATAGAATTTGTCGAGCTTAACATTCAGATCAGTGTTTTTCAAATAAAATGTTTATCAAATTATGTTCATGTTCTAGAAAGCACTTTCACCTTGAAAATTACTTAACATTGTTTTTTACCTTTCTTATCATTTAAATTATTTTGCTGTTTTTCAAACTTTTATGATTGGTTTTAAACTACGACACTTTATAATTTTTTAATTTAATTGCTTATTACGTATTATTTTAAAAATAAATTTATATTTTTTAAAGCTGTCACAAACCCCACTTAAACTTTAAATGTATCCTTTGCAGAAAGTTTGGTTTGATCACAAAAATCAAGGTCTAATCAAATAGAATCTAATATTTCCAACACAATATTGTCATAAAAATCATGAGAACAATAAAATGGTTTAAATATTTTTTGTTTACTATTAAACCACTTTTAATATTGTCATTCAAGGATTCGTAATATTAATGTAAATTTATTCTTTTTCAAAGACACTTTGTAAACGACAATTCCAGTAAAAAGATTCTTAAAAGTTAACAATTAGCCTTTGAAAGAGATTTGTACAGCTCATAATAGCTTTTAATTTCAAATTATTCATTCATAAAAATGTTAAAAAATTCTTATTTTCTCTCATTACAGAATCCATCAATTCATTACTAAAGAAAAAAACTGCATAATTGTAGCAGACAGTCAAGGACTTGTGTGAAAGTGAAAAATGAAAATTGACAAGAACCCATTATTTCCGACATTTAGATGAGTTCAAAGTGACAAATAGCTTTTTTTTTTGAAGGAAAATCTCCCATAAAATTAATGCACCGAATACATTTCAAATGACTTTGTGAACTGAAAAAAGTTTTAGAAGCGATATCTAAGTGATAAAAAAGGAAGAAAAAAAATACTAAAACTTAAAAGAAACCAATTAAGTTGGGTAGTTCCAAATGTGTAATGAAGTGGAATTTGCTCACAATCAATCAAAAGTTTGTGTTGTTCTTCTTGTTTAATTGTTTTATCCTCTTCAATTACATTTCATTTATCAATTGTGATGTCTATAAACTTGGATACATAACTGGATCACACCGTCGTCCCGGTGATTTGGAATATGAGAGACCAGGTAGGTGTATTTTATTAAAATCTTTACATTTATACCCATCTTAATTACATATTTTTTAATTAACCTATCCAATAATTGATCAATACAAATAAAATTATTTGTCATATCAAACGCGATTAAAGTAGTAAAACCATGCAAAAGCATGTAGGTTTAGATATCATAGCTCAATTATTTAAGGATTAAGATTTGCTCAACAAAACTGATAATTAATATAATCAGCTTATAAAATTATCTAATAGTTTTTACCTTAACAAATAGATTATGTAATCAAAAAACAACTTCAATTGATTGAATCAAGTTTCATTGAACAAAACAAGAATTTTTCTAGATTGAACGATATTGCATCCTCATGACAAACAATTTGTTTCAACCAGTTTCAACAGAATTTTATAATGGAACCAAAGATAATCCTTTACGATAAATAATTTTACAATTCCGTATGAACTTGATTGCAAAAAACAGATATCGAGAGTTATGCAACCGAATCCTTATGAAGTCATGCAACAAGAGCAAATGTGATAAAATATTTGAACGAGGAATCACTTTGTTTGCTAGAATCCTTTTGAAATGAATTTAATGTATTTTGTTCCGTTTATGCATGAATGTGTGTTTAGTAAAGAAAGTTGAAATAAACGAAAAACTTTATTTCCTGCGATTTTAAATGAAGCTCATTATTTGCATATAAAGACAAGTTAGAATTTACGAACGATATTATTGAAAAGAAGCCTCAAATAATATTTTTCTTCTTGTTTGCTTATAATTTTAAGTTTTGGAGAAAAAAAGATTGAAAAAGAAATTAAAAATAAGTCTTAAGGACAATAAACAATAAAAACAGAAGTATTTGCAATTATTAAATTAATACAAAGAGTAAATAAATGCTCCAGTTTTTCTACCCACTCAACAATTTAAAACCTACAATAGAAGCTTCCTTTTTAAAAACTTTTAAAACTATGTCAGCTGTAGAAATAAAATGAGCATAAATAATCCATGAACATGGAATTTAAGAAATAATGGAATGAAATGTTCATGATGGGATGCTCTTTCATTTACTTCTTACATCCGTAGGACTTTAAATGCAATGAGTTTTTAAGTAAAAAAATTACAAATTATCTCGTGCTTTATCGAGTGATTTTAGAATATTGCTGATGAAAGTTCAAAGATGTATCAAATTATAGGCTTTAATCAACATATATGCAACAGAGACTCTTATAATGCAGACTGTCGGCTTTTCGTTTGTGTCAACCAGTGTCAACTTTTATCGCAATTTTCAATTTCAAATTTTTATCAACCACATTTAAAAGCTTTAAAAAATTTTTCTACGAGACATTGAGTCAGAAATAAGTACAAATAAACAAACATTGATAATGAGTTACAGCAATGATGCTGATGAAGAAATAACCTCAAATCTTATGACACGATCGTATCAAACAAGCATTCATCAATAATACCAGTACCAAAATATTGATCACTATGCAAATAGCCTTAATATAACAATTTAAAATACAAAATAACACAGCTTGAATCGATAGCTGTTTTAGTGATCATACTATGATCATTTCATAAGACATTAAATTTAAAAATCGGAAGCTATTAAAAGTAATCCGGAGTATAAGTTATATCAGGAATTTTGAAAAATCCCGTCGAGGCAAATTTTTGATCATTAATGATCCAAAAATATAAATAAAACCTTAGTTAAACTAAAGAGAGCAGCGAAAATTTATAAATGAACGACACATTGTTACAAATGAAATAGAAAAAGCAAACTTATTCAATGACAATTTCATATCAAGAATAATTAAATATTAAGCATCTCTCAAATGACCTCTGTGACATAATGAAGCGATTTTACGAGACATTAGTGTAGCCTGAATATTTGAAAATAGCCCTTGTGATTGCCATCAATAAATCGGATGATAAAACATCAATTAACGAATATCGTAAACAACATAGAAATTCTTGAAAGCAGGACAAACTTATATGCGATAATATATTAAGCACTTACCTCACATATATGCATTTAAATAGGCTCTTAAACGATAGACATAATCCATATACGATAAACATTCTCCTTGTCCAGAGATTATTTGAAATATTTTGCAAATTAATCTACAATAACAACAACAACACTTAAAAAATTTATAAAACAAAAGTATTAATTGGAAGATTTACCTGAGCGACAACTTATGATGTTTGCTTAGATTTTCAGTAGCTTTTCCTTCGGTCTTCTATCAATGTCCTGGTTAATTCACTTAATTAATTCTTTTGGGAAAAATTATCAAAAACAACTGAATTTATGGTTCATATTTTTACAACAAATAATTTTTAAATTTGATATTTCTGTTAAAAACTTCTTAATGTTAGAACTTTAATGCTCTTCGAGCGATGAATCTCACATTATACTCACATTTCGTCTAATTAGATTACTTATATTTAATCTTATGTTTGTTCTTTAAATATTGTAATTCTTAAATCCGGCTGCTAAAATAATGTCATTACTACTCTGAAAGTTTCATTATTGATTCAGTGACTTCATAGCAGCATTTGAACTTCGATGATTTCTTCCATTGTCGAGTTTTTCAACTGAAACGAGACATTAAAAAATTAGTTTCTAGTTTCGCAAACGTTTTAAACAATTTAACGAAAACTCCAATTTTGAAGCAGATAAAGACTTGATAAAACACAAGGAATAATGACATTTTTAACCTTATTTTCCTATTGTACATGATGCATATGTTCATATTCTGTCTGTCCATCCATCAGTCAAGTAATGTACTCATCATTGGTACAACTGCAGAATTTCGTTTTGATGAAGAAATGTAGGCAATAACATAAGGTTCCAAAGACAAAAAACAATCACTTGATATTGCCTCAGAAATTGTTATGATCACTCATTTAAACTCTGATTGCTTATCATGTGTCTTTATTGTTGAGACTTAACAAAGTAAATTAATATCAATGAATACTTAATATTATTCTGACTCATAATCACATAAAACTTTTGTCAATCGTGCAACCATTCCATTACTATTCACTGTAACAGGCTCTGAAGCAGAGCATTCCGAGATAGAGGCAAAAACGTTCATTAGCACACACATTGAGCAATAATGATATATTAGATGCTTTTTGATAAGCTTCTGTTATTCTTACAAAAAAAAATCATCAGAGGCTCATTTGTACCTTCAAACTACACGATAAGTACCTAGAAATGTATCTTATGTGAGTTTATTGGTGTGTTAGTGTGTGTGAACAGGCATCGAGACAAAAAATAGCAAGGATCTTTTATGATCAAGCGATCAATGTTGTTGACGCCACTCTAGATCAAGGATGAACTAAATCAAGCGCCAAAACAGCAAGTCTCACAGAAAAAAAAGCACAATATTCATCGTTTTAGCAATTGATGAGAGAAGAAACAACTGAGTGTTCTAGGATATTAATTTTAGAGAATAGTTTATAGACTATTTTGTTAAGTCGCGCATGTTAAGGCACTTGTCAAGCTTTCAAAGCTTATCTGAAAGAGCATAACAGTTTTAGTGACCATATCCAGTGATTTTTTTTGTCTCCAAAACCTTATGCTACTGACTTCATTTCGACACCAAAAGAAAATTATGAAGTTGTTCCCAAAAATGAGAACATTAGTTGTCAAATGGATGAACAGACAAAATGAGATAACTTACATCATGACCAAATGGCAAATGCATCAAAAATGTCAAAATCAACTTTTGACTTATCAAGTGATTCCAGAGGAGAAAATTTCGCACAATTTATTTATTTCAAAAATAACTTATCTTAGTCATCCTTCTTTTCTTGCTGTCTTCTTCCTTCATTTCAGATTTCCTCACTTATTTTCAGTAAACTTTTCACTTTTTCACATCAATTTTATATTTATTTTCAATCACTTAAGTCTTTTACTTTAATTAAAGTCAACAAACACTTCTTAAGCTTCTATAATTTTAGTTTTATCACTTTTACGTCACCAATTAATTCATACCTTTATGATTCACATTTAAATCGTTTTAAATCACGCACGAAAATAAAACACGTCTGATTCGATTAATAATTTAAGAAAAACTGAAGAAAATATTCAATGGTAACTGAGATGAATTTTCAAAAAAACCGTTGATTAAACTTTTCGTTTCCACATTTATGAAAGTGTTACTTACATTTAATCCATTTCTAGATCCATTATAAACCTGTGATTTGAGACTTAAGCGATAATATGCTGCAAAAGACGTCCTGAAGTGGAAAAAATGGTTTTCAAACTTTAAAATCTTTCCACCAAAAATTAAGCCACTTGAAAAGACATAATGAGCACCTTCTTTAGAGTCTTTAGTATTTGATAAGTCAGTTCCAGCGTTAGCAACATGATTATCTTAGTTAAATAAAGACTTTCTTGTTAAAAATCAGGAAACATATTGTCAAAATTGGTTCATCAAGAAGATTTACAAAAAGTTCGATAGATTACCAAGCAATAACGAGTGACTTTACTCAAATTGCTGAAATAATTGTATCTCAATTCAAATTGAACTGCTCTTACTAACAATAATTTATTTTCAAGGCATAAATCAATAACTGCAATTTTAATTTATTCCAATTTAAAATGTTTCAATTTAATTATCAAGGCTTAACGATATCAGGAGCACTCACGCTCGCCGCTGAGGAAGTAAACAAAGCGAAGCTTGCCAAATTGAATCATTCAATTGAATTTATTGTCGCTGAGACGTACGGTGAAGAAATATCGAGCATTAGGGAAACAGCATCATTATGGAAGCAGGGAATTTTCGGCTACATTGGTCCTCAAGAGACATGCATTCACGAAGGTCGTATGGCAGCAGCATTCAATTTACCAATGATCTCGTATTTTTGTACAAATTATGAGACATCAAATAAGAAAGACTTTGCAACATTTGCACGAACACGTCCACCAGATACACAAATTGCCAAATCCGTTGTATCGCTATTGTTGGCATACAACTGGACACAGGTGACATTTTTGCATGTGGATCATGATTTGAGTGCAATCGCACCAATTGCAAAAACTGTGATAAATACGTTAAATATAGCAGGAATAAAGATTAATGCCGTTAGGACATGGAATGAGGACTATTATCATGGTTATCGAGTAAATCCATTTGATGATTTAGTGCAAGATACTTACAGGGATACTAGAAGTAAGTTGTCATACACAATGTTGCTAGCTGACAAATCTTTTACTTAATTTTGTATTCAATTAAAGTTTATTTAATACTGGGACAATTTCATGAACACATTGGGCTAATGCTAAGTCTCTACAATCGGGGTCTACTGAATAATGGTAATTTCCATACAAATTTCGTTTTGAGAATTTCATTAAGTTTTCCTTTTTATGCAGGCGAATATTTTGTCATTGGTATGGACATTGAACAATATGATACTTCTGACCCGGAAAAATATATGAAAGGGATTCTACACAGTGAACAAGAACCGTGGGTAGGGGAAGCTTATCGATCATATTTTGCTGTCTTTCCATCACCAACAATTGGATTTGATGAATTTTCAGTAAAAGTAAGTGACATTTTTCTCCATAAAATTTATGACTTTTTTTTTATGCTGGTATGCTGCCATGAACAATTCATCATGGCACATCCAACTTCATTTATATTTTTAAAAATAACAAAATGATTATTTTCATGCGTAAAATAAATTATTTTAAAAAATTTTCATGTATTTGCAATAGGTTAATAAGTTTTTGGAGCTGCCACCATTCGAGCATCCGAATCCACTGAAACCGTTCAATAAAGCAAAACAGGTGAATTGAACTTTATTTAATTCGTATGTGACATTTGGCTTGTTTATATCCTTGAACTTTGTTGTTTGTATTTATTAAAAAAATGTTTTGTTGGATTAACATGTTTACATGCTCAATGCTCAATGCAAAAAGTATTTTTGTATGTTTTGCAATTTTACATTCAGAAAAAGACTTGAGTAATTTTTGACACTTCGTGGCATGAAATATTAATGCAAAAGTATATCTGCAGACGTGATTTTTATCTAATTTCATGAGAGAGAAGGCGTGAAGGCAAGCGCATGATGTTATTTTAATGATACACATGTTTCATATGGGCAGAATGCAAAGATAGCCAAACAAATAGCTAAATATATGATTAGGATGTCTGAAGTGTTTAATCATGAATAACCTCTGCATACATTTGTATAGTTTTGACACAAAATCACATTCGGGCAACACAAGAGTGTGGTACTGATGAAATGACCAAACCCGAATGGAACAAGTCGGTTAATCGAATATAACTTTGGCGCCAAGCAGGAATGACTCAGGTATGGTGCTGGCTTCATATAATCCAGCAACACGCCAGAGTCACACCGGCTTGTGCCACTCGGGAAATATGATCAAAAATGATCAAAATGAAATTTATCAGTTCTGTACCCTCGGGCGACACAAAGATAAAGGAATATTTTTAATACTAACAGATTCGACTTTAAGTCCGAACTTCTTGTGTTTTCTAAATTACTGGATTTAATTTATTTAAAACTTTATGACTCACGTCAGCATATTATTAGATTATTTTACTATGTTTATGATTATCTTGTGATTTTATTCTTATGAACCCCAAAATAAGTCTAGACGCACCTAAACTAAAATCATCCCTGTCGCTATTTCTATAATCAATCAAAATATCCGTCAAAAATTCGTCTGGTCCTTTTTTTAACACTCATCAATATCCATACCCTTAAAATTCCTCAGATTTATTATCAGCCAACTCAAATCTGACAATTATTGGATTAAACGACTTTCTTTTTACCCTAAACATGTCAAATCTTTTTATCATAGTAAAGCTTTCACTTTTGGCAGAGAAACAATAAAATAATTGAACTTGTTGCGCTTTTTTGCTGCTCCTTTTTTCACATGTATTCTTGTACTATAAAAAATTATTTTTATACATGTTTAGTATATAGAGGAAGAACTCTCTAACAGCATTCAATTATAGTAGCAAAATTCTTTTTCGGACATAAATCTTTTTTAACGTCTTCTGCGACTATTACAAAATTTTTGAAAAAATATTTGTGTACAAAAGCATTTATTTTATGGCATTTTTCAATGAAATTGCTCTTAAAAGCAGATCCGTATTCAGAGGAATCAAAAGTTTTTGCCTTTATTATACCTCTTGAAAATATTTTTCATGCTCCTGATTGACACTTAAAATTATTATTCACTCATCCCCCATGTTGACGACATAAAGTTGATGATAACGGTTGCTTAATTGCCTTCAACAAAAGTTTGGATTTTCGTTGGAAATTTAATTAAATCTGAACTCATTTTTGTACCTTTCATGCCATAAAAATATTCAGATCATAACAAAAAGTATGAAGGACACAATTTTCTTTTTTATGCTTACCATCGTTTCATATCCACAACACAAATCGACCGTAAGCATTGAGTAGGACGGAAGGAAAAGGTTATCGACAATCTAAACAGCTGGCTGTTGAAAATTTCTTACGTTCTATCGCAAAGTCACTACATTTGTGACATAACAAATCGTTTGCGTTCGTGCTTTCATTCAATTTTCTCTTGCCAGTTTCAATGTCTTTTGAGTGGGGAAAATTTTAATATTTATTATTAGAAAATTCTCTTTCTTTATTGTCATCCGTAAATATTTTATTCTTTATGATAACGGCAAGAAAGTTCAGTGAACTACATTAACATTTTTTTCTGTGGCTAATGAAGGTCAATGGAGCTGATAGTAATATAAACTTTAACATTTCTGTTTCATTAGATTCGTGCGGAAGCTGCCTATTTATATGATGCTGTACATCTGTATGCAGACGCTTTGGTCAATTGTCTGGAAAGCAGCAGGGATCCAAGAAACGGTAGTGAGATAATAAACGCCATCAAGGGACGAAGTTATCAGAGTGCTATGGGGTGTGTATAATGGAATTAAAGAGTAGTTTCCATAGAGCACATGTGATTAATGAAACTTTTACTTTTTTTCTCCGTGTTTAGTTTCCTCATTCATATTGACGAGAATGGTGATGCTGGTGGAAATTATACAATCTTAGGTATGAAGAAAGTGAATAATGGCAAGACAAATCACAGCTCACATGGTTTATTTCCCATCGGAACTTTCATCACAAGAACAAATCAGAGTGACAGTTTTGGGAAAACCAGTTATCCGGTATGTGACATTTTGTGTAATCATATTAAAACGTTAGGTCTTATCCACCCTTTAAATTGGCTATACATATGCATGGGAAATAAGATATCTTCTTTAATTTCATTTTTATGGGAAAAATTTTAATTCAATTTAAAGTAAATTTTTAATGGATTTAAAAAAATATATTATCAATTTACCGTTTCCTTTGAAAATTGTTGAAAACCTGTAATTTGAAACTAAGCCTCGACGTTTTTTAAGGATTTTTGCTTAACGGAGAAAAATAATTTGAATTTTTCACTAACACTATCATACAAAACATCAAAAATTAAATTCTCAAAATTCTTAATTATTCAATTATTAATCCCATATAAAATGATTTGAATACGAAAAATGGATGATACATTAGCTGTTCTGACTATTTTAAGAGCTTTTACATCATTATTGGGTGATATTTTCCTGACTTTTCAAATTTCATTTTCGATTTTGTTTGTAAACAAACAATTCACGACAGAAAAAATTCAAAAACGTTAAAACCGTTAAAAAAAATTAAACTTAATTTTGACCATTTCGGTATGCTAACGCAACAATTTTAAATTTTTTATAAACTCAAAAAGAACAAAATTGAATTTAAGGCGTAAAAAATACATTGGGGATATATCAATAAACAATAATGAAGATACAGCATAATTCCCAAAAATTGTACGTGAGTGACGCTTAGTTAAAATGATTTTTTTAAGCAACTTTATAGTTTCAAGAAGTGAATTGTACAACAGTAGATGGGGATTGTAATTCTCTTTTTAAAAAAAGTAACTCTTAAATTTGTCACTTTTAAGGATAAGGAGATAATCAAGAATAACGAAGCGTCACTCACGTACAATACTTTTTGTGACGAGGCCCAGGTAAATAAAATTTCAATTAACCTTCACGAAGTAAATTTTACCGGAATCTTCCATTAAAAAATATTCATGAATAAATACTTTATCATTGTTGAGCTAAATAAATAATGCATTGTAATGCATATTGGAATCCAATTTTGTACTCATAATTGTATCACAGCGACATATGTAAAACAATTTTGATTTCGTGTATTCAACTAGGTAGTTTAAACAAGTGTATATCATATTGTTCTTTTTTTATTAAATTAACATAGAAGGTTGAAGTGTATCATAATGAATTTACGACTGATAAAGTCTACGTAAAGGTATTAACAATTTATTTCGGATACGAAAACGCTATGCAAATTCAATTAAAATGAAGCATATTCAGCTAGATTATAAATGCTGAGATTGATTGTACAAGAAGAGATTGTACAAGATTTTTTAAAAATATATTCTTGTGGATACGCTGTGTTCAAAACGTCGTTTGAAACGGAATTGACACCTACATTAAGTATTCTTATCATAATGTAACAAAAAGAACGAGTTAACTAGAATATGCTCGTGTATCTCCATTTATACTTGATTAAAAATGTTGTGGGATTTCATGACCAAACAATTCATTAAAGCCATTACAAAATTTCCTTAAGAAGGGATGTAGGAAAAACCGTCGTAAACCCTCAAAGTACCGAATAAACTTAACCCAATTAGCAACAAAATTTATTTTTATCTTTTTAATAACTACCTTAATTTTCTGTTGATATGATAAAGTTCCCCAAAGACTTCAATAATCAAAAAATATATGAAAAAAGTTCATCTTTTCTTACTTTTATTTCTATTCCTATCTTGGCTGCACGGCGTGTCTCAAATTTTATTTCTTGTTCTTCTCTCCTTCATTTCCATATTTCATTACGAATATGAATATGAATATATCTAGTTTCGTGTTCAGGTGAGCTTAATGTTTTCTTCATGAAAATTTAGCGAGTTTTGTTTTGTATTTTGTTGAACCTTCCAACTTTTATCAAAAGATTTCATGTGTAGACACATTTGTTTTGAATGTTTTGTAGTTTGGGTAGCAATAGATGTTTTTTTCACATCTTTACCATTTATTCCTTCAAAAGTAATAAATTAAGTTTCATATTCTTTTAAAGGATTTACAATTATTTTCACGAATAATGTGGGTAGGAGGAAAACCTCCAGTAGCTGAGCCATACTGTGGATATCGTGGAGAAAAATGTATCAGTTATGCTAGGGAGATAACAGCTGCCATCGCTGGCTTTATACTTCTTATTTTAACAATCGTCTCGCTCGTATTATATCGTAATTGGCGCTATGAGCAGGAACTTGACAGTCTTTTATGGAAAATTGACTTCAGAGAAATTCAGATGCATGAAAATGAAGCAAGTGGAACGACTAAGCAGACAAGGGCCACACATCCACTGATAAGAACGAGTCAAGTGAGTCTAAGCTCAAATCCCGATGCAGACTTCCGATACTCGACAATTTTCACACCAATTGGATTATATAAGGGACAGTTGTATGCCATAAAGAAGATTAGAAAAAAATCTGTGGACATAACGAGAGAGATGAAAATGGAATTGAAAATAGTAAGAAACGATTGTTCAATCTGAAATGGTCAAATAAAATTAATGATTTCATTACAGCTTCGTGACATCCGGCATGATAATTTAAATGCATTTATTGGAGCTTGTACAGAACCACCGAACATTTGTATCATAACTGAATATTGCTCACGAGGAAGTCTCAAAGACGTACTCGAGAATGACGATGTCAAATTGGACAATATGTTCATTGCATCATTAGTTTTTGACTTAATAAGGGTGCGTAAACCTTTTTATATCTCACATGTTTATTTACTTACATAAAATTTTCAGGGCATGACCTACCTTCATGACTCGCCATTAAGAGTTCATGGTAATCTCTGTACATCAAATTGTCTCATCGATTCACGTTGGGTGGTAAAGCTGAGCGATTTCGGTCTGTATGCATTTAAAAAAGGTAGCAACAGTAGTAATCACCATCATCATCATAGCTATGATGGAGGAAACAATAACTTGAATGACAATAATGAATGTTATGATGAAGATATGATGATTCCTGTTAGACGTGGAAGCACTGATTCGAGGAAATTTATCGTCAAATATGAAAGTGAGTTGTAATTTATTTTTATGGAAATTAAATGTGCTTAATTGGCTGTGAATATCTGAAAGATTTCTATGATAAGGGTTGTTACTGATAGAGGAAGTTGTATTTTTATTAGATTTTTCAGGCAATCATTTTTAAAGGCTTTTATTGCAAGTTAAATTAATTATTACAACTTACAACTTTGACTAAGTTAGATTAAATATTTAAAATTATATTCTCAAAAAGCAAATGATTTAAACATTTCATTATCTTCATCGGTACCTAAGGTACAAAATAACTTTTGCAAAAATATAATAACCGTGATTTCCCATTCCTCTCATTTTAATTAACTTTTTCAGAATTACTTTACAAAGCTCCAGAGCTGTTGAGAGCGATTACGAACTTTAACGATATTCTTGTTCCGGGCTCACAGAAGGGCGATATATATTCATTTGCTATAATCCTTTATGAGATTCACACGAGGTAAGAATGTAATTGAGTTCGCTCCAATCAATCTTTAACTCCTACGTTATTTACTTTGTCATGTAAACATGATATTCTCATAGGAATGGACCTTTCGGAGAAATCGATTGTACTTACTTTGATTGCTTGAAACGCTTGACTGTACCTATAGACATAACAAATCCTTTTCGACCATCATTGCAACCACTTGAGACATCATTCGATTGTGTTCGAGAATGCATTCGTGAATGTTGGGCTGAGAATGTAGAAGTAAGACCAGATTTTAAGACAATAAGAACTAAACTGCGTCCATTAAGAAAAGGCATGAAACCGAATATTTTCGACAATATGATGGCAATGATGGAGAAATATGCAAATAACTTAGAACAGCTTGTTGATGAGCGCACGGATCAGTTGCAAGAAGAGAAAAAGAAAACGGAAGCGCTATTATTAGAAATGCTTCCACGACCTGTTGCTGAGCAACTGAAGCGTGGAAATAAGGTTGAAGCAGAGAGTTATGACATGGTGACAATATACTTTTCCGATATTGTCGGTTTCACAACAATGAGCGCTGAATCGACTCCACTGCAAGTTGTTGACTTCTTAAATGATCTGTATACATGTTTTGATTCTATTATTGGAAATTATGATGTATACAAAGTTGAGACAATTGGCGATGCATACATGGTATGCTCTGGTTTACCTATACGGTAAGTTGTTTGCTCTTTTCAAGAGACTTTAAGTTTTTTTCATATAAAACTAGCGTCGGTTTATAAATGACGACCATTATTATACGGAAGTTTTATATCTGAATTGCTCAAGTATGTCTGCATACATGTCTTACCTATTTCATAACTTTTTTAATCTATTTAGAAATGGAGATATTCATGCTGGTGAAATTGCAAGCATGTCACTACATCTGCTTGAAGCAATTCGAGAATTTAAAATCCGTCATCGACCTGATGAAAATTTGATGCTGAGAATCGGAATACATAGTGGACCTGTTTGTGCTGGTAAGAATTAATATTTGTGCTTCTTGCTCAAAAAATAATTTTTTTCACTGACTGTTGATGATTTCAATCAGTTCTGTACCTTGAAATCAGTTAGAATTTCTTGACTGAGAATAATCTAATTTTCAAAACTTCCTTTGTTTTGTTCCAAAAAAATCCCAGGTGTTGTTGGACTAAAAATGCCTAGATATTGTTTGTTTGGTGACACTGTAAATACTTCATCACGAATGGAATCAACAGGTGAAGCTTTAAAGATTCACTGTAGTGGAGCATGTAAAAAACTATTAGACACACTCGGTGGTTACTTGTTTGAAGACCGAGGTAAAATTCCAGTAAAAGGTAAAGGAGAAATGAACACTTATTGGCTTACAGGGGAAGTCGAAGAGTGTAAAATGAAACGCTATCAAGCTAGGACAGAACGTAGAGCTTCCAAAAACAGTGCAAAACAAATTTCTAAATTCCTACAAACCCAAAAAGAGCTGCAAAAGAGCTCTCTAAAAAGTGCAAAAAGTTTGGTGCCAAGTCCAAATCGTCTTGCTCCATTCAACAATAATCTAGTGAGATCAACAAGCTTTGACTCACCAAAGAAGCTTCGATTTGCTACCGATATCCTTCTTGAGAATCATCAATATAGTAGCAATAAATATTTACGATATAGCAACGATGGATTGATGGAAGTTATCAGTGATCAAATGACAGTTACCCCATTACCCCAAACATCAAATGATTCACTTATCTTTGCTGTTATTGACGCAAATGACAAGCCTAGAAGTCTCGATGACGATGATATAACAGCATCGTGTCCGTGCATAAACAAAGAAATCACCGAATTCATTTGTAATGGTGAAGATTTTTTCGACGAAATTCCCAACGATGATGAAGAGACAGCTGAGCTGAATGATGTGATATTATTGAGAAATTTAGAAAATGCGCCAGCAATAAAAATTACAAGCAGCACACCGTTATTGTCGCAAAACTAACAATTCGGAAACTCCAACATGTTATCAAGAAATTGAACAACCTGCATTCACATGATAAGCGACACAACTGAATGTTTTTAACCACACAATTATCAATATCTAGTCATTTTTATATATAATGTACCTATTATATTTATGTACGTGCGTAGATTCTTTTAAGAGACCTTAAAATTTAATATTTATATTTTTTCTGTGGAAATGATGTTGATTGTGAAAAAATTGAAGAATGAGAATGTAAGTAAGTGGCTTCTAGAGACTGTGAGAACTTTTGAATTTGATACAATGAAGTTACTATGAAGTTAAGTATATTAAAAAGTTTTTATAAAGAAGTAAATCTACTAGTAAAAGAGTTTGGCTTCTTATAAGAAATTACTTCTAGAAGATTTTGAAAGTTAAAGATGTTCGAAGATAGAGAAATGAAGGTTAGAGAAAAAAGTCCCAGAACTTTAAAGAATACTGGCAATATTTCATTTGTGTTTACAGTGATCAATGTAATAGAACAAGGGCGTAGCTTAATAAAATTCGACGAAAGATGTTTGGAATTATTTGCAAAGACCATAAAATTGAGGGAAGATTTTACATTTTTCTCAGATGAATCCTTTCCTTGCTATGTCCTTAAAATAGAATATTTGTGAATCATCAAAATTCAATGAGATGTTAAAGTTACTTTAATGAATAATTTTAACATTTTTATCAGTTATCTTGAGCGATGCATTGGTCCTAAGAAAGATTTTATCAGAATAAAGCTTGCATCCAATTTTATTGAGACGCTGTATTTTTATCAAAGGCGGTTAAATATGCTAGATCTTGTGTACTCTGTCCAAAATCAATAACTGTTTTATCATTCCCTCAAACACCTAAATTGATGCACATTGAATATTTAAAAGCAGTTTTGTCAAGGGTTGAGTTGAATTATATTGGCATTAAATTTGAATAAGCAAATAAAAAACATCAATTTAATTTCCATTGCGTTAAAACTTGATGTTGTTTAAAAAAAATAAATTTTAACTTATTCGAGACAAAAAGAAATAAAAGCATCATGTTTATTGTTTCAAAACAATTTTTGACGTTTCATTTTGTTATCACATTTGTAAAGCACATTTGTACATTTCTTTTTGAGACACTTTTTTTCAGTAAAGAACTTTATTTAATCACGAATTCTGATTCCTGTTTTGCTTGAAATCCATTTGAGGTATTTAGAGACACGGGTGTAGCCAGATGGATCTCCTGAAATGGAATTAAAAAATTGAAAAGGTAGGATCAGTTATGGTAAGGCAATTTATGGTATTTTAAAAAATTATGCTTCAAACTTTTTAGAATAATCAACAAGTTAATTGATAAGGGGTTGTTCCTAAACTTTGTAATGCCAAATAGGTCATTTTATATTTCTTGACCATAACTAATTTTGTAAAGCAATAAGAAAATTTAATATGAAGCTCAACAAAACTTAAACCTGTCTATTTAAGCTTCACGAGATATAGAAACATTCCCATACTCAATATATTTTTCAATAACAATCTTCATACCTTCAGCACATCCTCTGGAACTAACAAATGATACAATGCCAATCTGAACATGTATTCCTCCATCTTTTGCTACTAAGGGACCTCCAGAGTCTTTATATCAATCCAAAAATAAGAAATTAACATGTTTCAAAATACTTTGCTAAGTCATAAAATCTTCTTACCTCCTAAACATGCATTATACATCTTATCAATTCCCTTAGCACATAGAACATTATCAGTAACAATTCTCTTTCCATATAAATCAAAGCATTCCTTATTATGTATGACTTTTAATGTAACATATTCCATAAATGGTGAGACATTGTTGGATGTGTCTGAAGTTCTGCCAAATCCAGAAACTGTTGCTTGTGCTCCAACGAATGACTTTTCAGCTTGAGAATATCTTGGAAGTAAAACTAATGTGACTGATGGAATGTTACTTGGTATTATTGGGACTTTAATTAAAGCGATGTCCTGCAATTTTTAATGGTTACTGTTTATGCTGACTTTCAGTTAAAATTAATTGGTATTTTACATTATTTAAGTTACTTGGATTAAATTCTGGATGTTCAATAGCTCCACCATAAGTAAAAATTTTTGTTGCTGGTGTATTTAAAACAATGGAACCGAGTCCAATTTCAAAGTCATGAAATCCACGCGTACAATGTGCTGCTGTTAATATATAAGTACTTGATATCATAGATCCACCACAAAACGATGTTGAACTTCCATTATAAGCACGAATTGACACTGTATAAGGAAATTGATTGTGACCTGATCGCGTTCCACCGACAATTCGTGCTTGGACTTTTCTTTGAAATAGTGGCAAATCACTCTCTGAAACTTGTACAACCTGTTGTAATTAAAGATCATGTTTTGATTCTCGAACAACTTCAAAAAAAATCCCACTGTTATCACTTACTTCTGTGTCAACAACACTACAATAAAATATTATTCCAAAAATTAATGTATTAATTAATTTATTCATTCTGAGAGTCAATTAACAATTATAAATCACCGTACAAAAAGACTGAAAGTTCTCTTACCATTTTTTGCTCTTTTATACTTTTTTCTTATAAACAAAACCTTAATTGCTTTATCTTATCAACGGCAATAACAGTGTACAATTTACTGATTAGATTTCTTTTGAATCAATGACTTTGTTTGTATTAGGAATGTGTTAGGTTGAGTGATAGAAATGGAAAAATTAAATTTATTTGGATGTGTGGGTACTAATGCATCGATTAGATTATCTGAAGCTAAGGCTTTAATGCTTTCATATGTGCATTTCTTGAATGTGCTTTTTTGGCATTAAAAGTTCTTTGGAATTCAATTTTTCTAAAACATTCTTCATACTTTGTCATTTAATACATTAATGGAGGTACCTCCATTACCATTCCTAGTCAAATTCATAGCGGAATTAAAAAAATCAAAAATTTGAAATCACTTTTTTTTTCAATTTAGCTTTTTGTTGATTTAATTTACGGATGATGCGACATAGTCCTCGATGGACGGTATTTTCGCTTCTGTATGAAGATCGGTGATTCTTTCATAGCTTGTTTTGTTGAGAACAATTCTCAAGAATTTGTTTTGCAGTACTTTAAGGTGGGTTTTTGCCATGCTTCCAAATGGTGCACAACCATATGTGAATATTGGTCTGATGGCTAGCTTGTAGATCAGAAGTGATAATGTTTTTCATATAAAACTTCAAATGATATCAGCATGTTAATACATACGAAATACATGCGAAAGCTCATAATGCATGCGAAATACAAATGCGACATATTAGCTATACGTGTGTGTGTGAGAGTGGATATTTCTTGATATTTGAGAGAGAAGTATGATGCATTTATAGTTTGCTCATTTGGAAAAAGCATTCAGTATGCTTTTGACTTTGATGGGCAGAGTATTTTACGTATTGATTTTAATTTAATTTTTTCATATTCTTGAATCAAGAAGTTCGCTTCTCAGTTTCATATCGTTCAGCTTAAGAAAATTTCAATTTATAATAAATTATAAGAAGTTGTTTTTCCATACAAAGTTCAAATTATCTAATAAAAAGTTTTTTTAAAAATCAGGAATTCGATTCTTAATCCATAAAAAGTTTGCATATTTAAATACATGACATAAAGTTGAGTATTAAGATGAAATAATTGAATGGCGTGATAATTATTAATGTTAATTTGCTTGTTTATCTTCAAGATGTGTGAATCAGATTGATTTATAAGTTAATGCTTTAAATTATAATATCACAGCAGACTCACCTTTGTCGCACTTTGTCTTCGTAATAGTTAAGTGATTAAGAACAAGTAAATAAACATTTAATTCTCTAATTAGTTTGGTAATATCGTAAACATCATAAAAAATTTCTTAATCGACCAATACTTGACAATAAATGTAAAGAGTTGGAGGTTGGATGAAACGGTACATTCGATTTAATCTTTTGCGTAAACAAATAATTTATTCTAAAATTTTAAATATAAAAAATAAATTTTTATAAGCTCGAGAAATTTTTTATTAAATTATGTATGAAGAAATCAAAAGATTTCAACTGTACAAGTATACATAATTAAGAATTGATCATTACTTTATTGCTTAATCAAGTAATACAATTTGTTAAGATTAATATTGAAAAATCTCAATTATTGCTAGAACTGCAAATATATTAATACTTTACTGCAAATATATTAGCAGTTTTTATTGAATTTACGTTATCATCTACCAATATTAGTTAAAGCTTTTTATGTTTCTATAAATAAAATGTGTGATCTACATTTTCATATTTTTTTAAAGATCATTCAGACCATCTACGGCAAACATTTAAGAATCAATTTATTATTGCAATTCTTACCTACCTCATCAATTTTGATGTCAATCAAAGATAACTGTGGTTAAAATAAAGACTTGTGTTGATCCAGTTGACTTTATTTTTTATCATAATCATAATCTCAAATCAAAAATCACTTTTATTCTTAAAAAAGACGAAATTGTATTGTAAATATAAATGAACCGCCAACAACAAACATTCAAAAAATTCACCTTAAAAATCGCAAATAAATTTATGACAATTTCTTTTGTCCAAATAAATACCACGATGACCTTGAGATCGAATCAAAAGCTATTAAATTTCAATCTCTACATTCCAACATTCCCATTTTGTCGAAATCACAATAAAAATAAAGTTTCCCGCCTCTTCATAACGTAACAAGAAATGCTCAAACTTTGTCTTAAATATTCCAAAATTGATCTAAATAAATAAAGGTAATAATTTTGAGAAAAGGCTAAGAATACATTAGAAAAAGGCTGGATAAAGAAGAAGCGATGTGATTTTAATTTTGTTTTGATCATTTCCATAAATTTGCAGTCGCCAAAATCAATATGACAATGACCTTATCTTTCGTTTTGTTGAACAGGCTTTACAAGTTATTTTCTAGGGGTGAGAAATTTAAATTTTTACAATTCTTCAACATTTCGTCACCTTTCTGATGGTCCATATTGATAAATGAAACACTTTCACTAACAATACAGAGAAAACTTTTTATCAATTTAGTATAAGATCACCAAAAGCCGTTATTCATCATAAACATTTTCAACACAATTTAATATTATTTATTTCATTAACACTACCAAGAACATGTTATCAACAACAAAAATCTCCATCCCCTGCAAGATTCGGTTAAACAAAAGCGAAATAACGAAAGATCATTGTACCTTTAAAAGCACTTTTTTTTATTGCTAGTGATCTCAAAATCTGAAGAAGTTTTACTTTCTTGAAGGTATGCTGATTGAAATATTAAATCCATTTAACCGATTTATGAATGTATTCGAGTCAACTCATCATCTAAAAATCAGTTTTTTTTTGGACAATCTCAAGCACATTTAATCTTTTGCTCTTTCTCTTTCTTGATTTTTTACACTCACTGGTCAAAAAAATTATAATCTCAAACATATGTATTCCTAGCTGATTTTGATAAAAGTTGAATGGATTTGTTGTTCAGTTTGACAAGTGATTTGGTGAATGGTTTTATTCTTATTTGGGGTCGTTTGCTTATGATGTCAATAAAATTTTGTTTTGCATTGTTTAATAAGTGAACGGCTTCTTAGAAACTGAATCTAAAACTTACTTGATCTTTGAGGTTTTAGAATGTACTTTCACAATGCAATCGACAAGTATCGACAGTTTTGAATCATTTTAAACTATCACTAAGGTAACAATACAATAGTTGAGTACATAATCTTTAGGTTAGGGGCCGTTCAATTATGACGTCCGAAATTAACGGTCATTTTTCAAAAACGAACAATGGATTTCCAAGAATTTCTATTGTTCTTTTCTGTCTGACCCCCCCCCCCCCCCCTGGACATCATAAGTGAACGGCCCCTTAAGCATAAGATTTTTTTTCCATTCTATTGCCAATTCACTTCTAAAACTGACTACACAATGGAATAATTTTTTTACACATTATGTAAAGTCTTTGAAAATGCGCTTCAATTATCCCTTCCAAACTATCCACAATAGCTTCACTCGTACAATTTTGTTAGGTATGTATGCTAAGCTTTTTTCGGAATTAGAACAAGATTTGAATAATTTTTAGATGTTTCATGAAAAATTTCTTTCTCATTTTTTCATTTCTTTTTGTCTCTTATTTTTCTATCAGTTGACGCGTGTTGATGAGCTAAAGAGAGTGTTGTCATACTTGATACACATTGTTGAGTAAATAAAACGAGACGATTTCTGTGAATTTTGCTCATCGATGTGATGATTGTCGAGTGTTTTATGGAAATTTTATTAAAATTGTTTAACAGTATTTTAATGCAATATATTTTTTCATGCAGTTGCTGTACTTAAAAAAGTCCAATGAACTTTCAGGAAAAAAATATTTTTTTTCTGATTTCCGCACAGCAAAAAAATTCTTTTCTGAATATTTTCCAAAAATAAAAATATTCAAAATTTTAGATCGCAAAAAGTTCCAACACAAATACACAACAAGAATGTCTCTTTCACATTTTTACACTCGTGATTAACGTGGCGCATCTTTGTCATACACATAAAGGAAGATATTTCTTTATTTTCTCTCCTCAAGAGATACTCAAAAAAATATATTAAAAAAAAATTTCTACACTTGCCTCTTTAGCTGATTTTGAGAAGAATTTCTGTTATTCGTAAGAAGGGAATCACAGAAAGCAGACACAAGTGGAAGCTTAGTTTTCTGATATTTTTTTTTATTCGTAACATAAAAATAAAAAGTCAAAGAAACGAGTTATCCCAAATAAAGTATAAAGAAACACAGAACAGAAGTTATTGAATGGACATTTGCAAGTCTTTTGTTTTGGATGCATTATAGAGTCGTCTGTTAAAAATAAAATAAACATTATTGCATTTCAAATGAAGTTCTTGTGAGTTTATAAAAATAATCGAAAAAAAAAGCAAAATTTATTTTCAAGCAGTGAAACAGGAAGTAGTATGGCAAAAATTAATGTCAACTCTTATATAGTTATATTGTTAGTTCTAAGTGTAAGTTATGATTTTATTATGAAATCCATGGTTGGATACTAAAATATTTTCACAAAAATTGAAAATTTTGTGTGAATATGAAAAAATTAAGCTGATGAAAATGTTTGTGTTTTTTGTGAGTTTTGGATAAAGCAAATAAAAGTGATTGTGGAATAAAAATGTCACATTATTTGTTTATGAACAAATTTTAGAAAGGAAAATGTGGATACCCACTGTGAAAGATGAAACCTGAATAAATTATCAAATTTAACTTGATCGAAAGTGAAAATTTACGTGCAAGAAAATCGGAAGAAAATTGCAAGAGAATTTGAGAAGAAAATTCTCAGGAAAAATCTAAGATTCTTAACTTAAAATCATTGAAAATTTTGAATTTTTAAAATACAAAAAGCATAAAGTTTAAAATTGATTTTAAAAAAACTCAAAAAACCTGAAATATTTTTAATGTATAAAACTTAAAACTTAACAAAACGCCAAATTTTGAAATAATAAAATTTAGAAAAACTGGAAAAACTCGAATTAAAAAACATTCAAAATAAAATAAAATTCACATTAAGAAGAATTCAAATTTTTTGAAAAAAATGATATTTTTTAAAAATATTTCAAAAGTTTTTAAAAAAATTATATTGAATCATAAATAAATTTTAAAATACTCAAAACTTACTTCAAAACTAAGCTTAAATGTCATGCTATACCTTTTACAGTTTCGGTTGTGAAATGAAATCGTCTAGACTTGTGAATTGTTATCTGATGACAAAAACTGCATATTAATGTGCATGAATTAATTTATTGAGTCTTCATAAAATGTTAAATTGACTTCAAACCCAACGACAGTGGAATTTGATTCTTAACAATTTTTATAAAATATTAGTCACAATTTTTCAAATGAATTGAATTTTTGAAATTTCGCATTTTATTAGAAAAGATAAAAGTTCTTTAGCTGACTGTTGTAAATGTTCAGAAATGATTTATCTCTTAAGATTTCAAGATATCGTGTTTGTCAATCATAAAATAATTAACTGAAGCTGTCCATAAATCGTCCATTGACATTGATTTACATGCGTTCTGCCTTTACACCACTTAATTTAATAAAAATTAATTATGCAAGTTAAGCTACAATTTATGGACATTATCGTTAATAACAGTGATGCTCTTCATTCGCAACAAAAACAAAGCATTTTCACCATCACATTGAGATTCTTTAAGTGAAAGGAAAGTTCCATTGGCTTAAGAAACAATTTTATTTTGGTGGATATTTCGATGTGACAGAAAAGTGCTTATGAAATCGTAAATTAAACTTAATCTCTGTGATACTCTTGATGTGAACAAAAAAATTCAGCAAATCCGAAAGAATTCTTGAATAAAACAGCAATAAAAAGACATTCCAACAGTGAAGGTAAAAAATGTTGAGTTTAATGCGCAAATCTGGCGATCGTGGGTGATTGACACAATGTGGTGCAAAATATAAAAATATGTGGGCAATATGCATTGAAAGTTGGTTGCATTTTGCTGTTGAATGTGATTTTTGAATTTATTATTCTAAGTGCCTATGGATGTTCCAGTCAAAATTTATTGCTTGATCGTCTTCCAAATTTGTCACTGCATTAGTTTTGATTCCATTTAAAATTCATTTGTCTGCGTCTGACTTGGTAGGTGTTTATTGATATAATGAAAGGAAATGATTGATAAAAATGTGGAACAATAAAAATTTATGGAATCAATAAAAACCTATTGAGTTAATCGAGTTCTTCTGGCGATAAAAATTGCAGTGAAATAAATTTAGTTTAAAAAAATTGACGTCTTTAAATATAAATAAATTAGTTGTTGCATCGATGTGAATAAAATTCTGTAAGTTTTTTTTTCTTTCTTTAATTAATGTTGTCGTCGAGTCTTTTAACAAGTTCCTTTGAAAAAAAATTCAAGATGTTTTTTATGGAAGTAAGGCATGTAAAGTTTATAAAGTAATTTAAAAACTTTTGTGATTAAAAATTGACTCAGAATAATTATTCACATGTTCCCATAGTTTCAGTCCAGTTTTAGTGAAAATAAAAAAAATATAAAGTAATAAAAATATCGTGACCAAAAAATGTTCATGTCTTAAATAGTAATGTGCTGAGCATTATGACTAATTTTTTGTGTTGTTAGAACAAAAAGAAAGTTTTCAAGTAGTTACAATATGCGTACAGCATTTTTTTATGTTATTTCTGCTTAATTATAGTTTCGACTTCAATCATTCAGTTTTAAAGTTATTAATCAAATAGTTTTGATGTCAAAGGTTTGAAAAATTTAACAATCAAATGTTAAAGATAAGATATCACTCAAAATAAGGCATGCCTGGAAAATTGGCTTATATCTTAAAATACAAATAGCCATAATTATTTAGAATAAAATCATAAAAAAACATGAAAAAAACTATGTTCAAATTTAAAAGAATCGGAACTTAACCTATCAAAAAAGTCGCGAAATTTTGACTTTTACGTAAACATACGTAGTAAAATCAGTCATATAAATCTTGCTTATGCGATTTGGTAATACAGATGTTAAATGGATTTTCGTAGAGTAATTCTGAAATATTGCTTATTCAAGATACGCTCCTTAAAGATAAAATTAACTTGTATCAGTTGTGGCTATAAAATAAACCATAAAATATTTAAGCACTGTTTGTGTGTTCGTGGAATTCTAGCTTCAAAATTGATGATTCGAATGACGACCGGATCAATTTAGAGAAATGAATTTGTAGATTGTAATTGATAAAGCCAATAATTCTAATATTGTCTTATAAAATCAAAAGAACTAGGGCAGTTCTACCAGACAAAAATACCAATGAGTAGTCATTAATGGATGCAAAATAGAATTAAATCAATTCACTGTAAAAATATGTTAAAATTCGTTCAATCCCAAAAATAAGTCATCACACAAATATTTGTTCAATCTTGGTTGAATCATTAAAGTGACTCGAATGTCAGTAATTTGTAAAAATTTAGACGTATCTCATTATCTGGGATTATTTGGAATTATTTACAAAGTTATTAATCACCTTAAGTATGTTGCCAAAAAGTATACTAATGGATGTGGAATTCCCGAATTATTAAAATTCTTAAATTTCTCGAATAATTGATTGATTTTAGCATAATTTGTTTTAAAGTAAAATTTTAACTTCCTTTCTTAGGTATATTATGCACTCAGCATCATTTACACTATAAAATAACAGACATTTTGAGTCTAAAATGCTCTCATCGCCTGAATTTATTTGATCATTCCCTGAAGTTATCTAAAAATATCTCAAAGTCATTGAAAAGTTTTGTTGTACAATAAAATAATCAACTCTCAATGTTCGATATCAAGCCATTTGTTCCTTGGATTTCATTTAAGAAATTACCTGTTTTTATAAATAAAAACCGATCCTTGTCTTTTGCTCAAGTGTGCTTAATTCAATATGATGAAAAAATACTAAAAGCAGATTTTGCTCAACACAACTGGCAAACTTAAGATTTTGTGTATTTTCTAACAAAATTATGCAGATTAATTTGAAAGCAAAATCGTCCTAAGGCTGGACATTGATATTCTTTAAAAAGGTCAATGTTTTAAGTGTGGATGATTTTCTTTAACAAATTTCCAGTTGATAGCTGTAAAGTAACGTTAAGAATGTGATAGAATTGGTATTTTATTAGAAGATCCAAGGAAAGTTTTCGATAATGAAAAAATGATCGCCACCCACATGAAAATTGTAACAAAAAATGCGATGAACTGTAAATATAATTATCAATTATTATTTGTTCTGGTTGGTTTGATTAGCTTTTATACTGTTGTTATAAAACAAAGAATTCTGGATAATAGATCATCAGATATCATAGTAAGAGCTAGCTTTATCTCAAAGAATTAAAACTTTAAATTTTTGACAGTTTTTAAAATAAATGAAAACTTTTTTTAAAAATAAGAAAATTCAGACACTTGTTGAGTTCCATTCTAATTAATTGAAAACATTTGTAAGAAAATGGCATGTACGATTTTTTACCTCAGTTTTTACCGAAAAGTTGATATATTTTTTAAGCCATACACTCCATGATTCATGGGGTACTTAAATAAATCAGATAAGCTATTATTCATTATGACAATAATATAAAGAAGATACAGAAAGAGCTTTTGCGCAGAAGTTAAGTGAACGACAGATGAAATTCGCTACTTAACAAAATATCGATCGCTGATAAAATTCGAATTTGATTTTTTTGTTGTTGTCTCAGACACGTTTGTGGTTTACATTTCGTATCTAAATCCCAAACATTTTCGCATAAAATTGAGAATGTTACCTAAATTCGCAGCACGATAACAGTTTTTATGACCTAAATATTCCTAGTTACAACTTTTATAATCAACTCTCCCATAAGCATAGTCAAACTGTCTAAAAATCAATTTTAAAACCATAATTAGTGACATTTGAAATTACTTCTTAATGATTAATCATGATCATTCCAATTCGTCTTTGTCATCATTTCTCAATCTGCAGTGGAGATCACTTGACTCAAAAAACACAAATTTACATATTCATAAGCGTCAGTGACATTTTTCCGTTCTTAAATAAACAATTTATCTTGCTTTTAAGCAAAACTCACAAGACACAAGATTCTTCTACTGCATTAAATCAATTTGTCATATTAATTTAACAGCATCAAGCATGCACACAATTTCAACCACGTCAAATGCCATCTCCCGATATTTCTGCACTAAAAGACGATAACGAGGCACTTAAGGACTCTGATGAGTATTTACCGGCTGTGATGATGGCGTTACATTATTATACAGAATTGATGCAATATGAAATTGTCCAGAATGTTCAAACGACAACGAAAAAACCAGTAACGCCACAGCGAACATCGATACCGACACAAAAAACAACTCAACTACCCCCCACAACAACTACAACAACTCAAAAACCCACTACAACAACCACAACAACCCAAAAACCTACCACAACAACTACAACAACCCAAAAACCTACTACAACAACTAAAAAACCAACAACAAAGCTTACAACAACGACACAGCGTACAACGATATCAACAACTCGACCACCCACAAGACCTACTACTAAACCCACAACATCCAAACCAGTAATTCAGTGTAATTTCTTAAGAATTAATTTTTAATTGCCTCATTTTTAAATTTTTTGATATTTTGTTTGAAGACCAAACACATCGGCCCCATAAGCCAGGTGTTCATGCACCAGAAAGACCACCGTACTATACTTATTTCAATCTACCATTAAAGCCGGAACAGAGTTATCATAGACCTGGAATACAACAACAAGCTCATGCTGGAATCACAACAATTAATCAGCCTGACTGGAAGAATCCAGAATTTTTCACATGGTTCTTCCAGAAAAAGCCTAAAGATGACGATGAAGTTGATGGTATGGAATGATATACTTTGCTTCTATATCATGCTAACTCCACTATAGTCAAAAATTATCACACAATAAATTTATTACTTTATTCTAGAAAATGAGCTTCGATATTTGGATGTGCTGCCAAAAAAACTTCTACTTGATATTCAACGCGACACAAAGCGTCGTCCAGCTCTTTTAGATTACGACAATGTGGTCGAGTTTAGAAAAATTTACGATGACTCATACAACTATCCATACAAAGTACGAGAGCCGAATAGTGAGCAAATGAAGATGAATATCAAAATTCAAATGCATCAACAGAAACAAATGTTAACAGGGAAAAAGAAACCACCACCAACGAGACCTTACGTATTGATGCTTATGCTGTAAGTTTTTAATGAAAGAAATTTAAATTTAATTTTTTATTAATTGCTTCATTGAAGGTATGACGTCTTGAAGCGTGAAGCAAAAACAAAAAAACTTCATCAGTTTAAGGTAGGAATTTAATTTTATGACTAAATGGATTGAATTAAGTTAACGACAAAATTTTCAAAATTTAATGTAAGCTTTAAAAGCTTCTTGATAGCTTTGAAAAGTTTTTAAGCTTTCACATTCCTCAAAAGCTAACTCATTATTGTAAACTTTCCAGGGATTCTCCGATGAGTTTCTTAGGAAACTTGACTCAATATCTCATTCAACATCAGTTTATCAAATGAAATATTTACTAGAAAAAATGCTTGAAAACAAAGAAGTTTCAACACCAGATGTTGTTGCCAGATCGAATGTAATTGTAGAAGGTAAGTTAAGGAATTTCTAAAAAATCTGAATCCATGCGTTGGCAATTAGTCAACTTTATATCTCATTTTATTATCAGCAACCTATATCAATGATTCTCTCTCTGTGTGTTCTTCCTTTTAATATTCTCTCATTTAGATTTGAAGAAAGAAAAGAGTGATACTTACAAAACGCTTGTTCTGCTTCCTCCACTTCCATTCAATCCTTAGAAATGAACGATTAGTATAGTAAATTTGGATAATTTCTTCAATCATTTAATGATATTTATTAGAATTAATGTCAATGTCCAAAAAGTCTCAATATATTTGCTCAGTTGTATAGTCTCGACATTAAAAAAATATAGTCATATACCAAGAGAGCATGAATTGAGTTTGAGTTAAAATGTTTTTCTCTGATGCAAATGTGATCCAAACTCAAGCCGTGCAGTAAAAAAGTCAAATTTGAAAAGATCTTTTTTGAGATTTTATACTTATTTTGTCAGTAATTTAGTAATAATAAAGATCATTAGATTATTGGAGTGATTGATTGAATGAATCTTTCAAGAAAGATTTCCTGATAAAGTGAATTTTACAGAATTAAGTTGAATCAACCTAAGTTAAATAAATAAACAATTTTAGAACTAAAGAATAAGATTTTTTTACTTAATTTAATATGAATAGTTGAAAAGGACGCTAGAGTCCTTAATATCCTGAACTGGCAAAAGGTTCCTAAGGATAGAGCTGTCTTCAGACGATCTCTAAGCACGGTAATGGGCCCACGTGCGCCCAAGCCAAGGAAGTAAGTAAGTAATATGAATATCAAGACATTAATTTTATTGATTTTCAGAACCAGTACTTCTTTTTGTACAATTAATATTAAATTAAACATCTAATGAGTATTTGAAGGAATAATGTGAGTATGAATAATCAAGCTTAGCGACCTCAAAATCAATCGTTAATCCTTAAAAGCTATTATAATTTGTATAAATGTAAGGATTTCTTAAACTCGGACATTTAAAAGTTCTAAAAAGATGATCAAATCCAAGACTCTTCCTTCCAACTGGTTCCATCATATTATTCCAAATTCCATTAGCTGACACGGCATGTCCTTTTTGACTTAAATGAACGCAATCGATTGCCATTAATGTTAAATCAGGTTTATTCTCATTTCTATAGAAAACATTCGCATCTTTGAAGAATGGCTGATAAACTACAGTAAAGTCGTCAGCATGAAACTCTGGTAAATAACTTATGCGTTCCATGATTCGTGTGAATTTTCTTTCAATTTTACGAAACAATTCACGATTTCGTGAAAATTTCTGTCCAAAAATGCAGCTGCATTCAATTGGACGCGCTAGATTGCAAGTTAATGGAGTGTTGACTTTATCCATTGAAAACATGAGGGATATCAAAGGCGATGGAACTAAATTTACAAGTGTTCTGAAGACATAAATTTGCTTAAAAATTGAAATTTTATAGATTAAATGAATAAGCTTACCTCGGTGAAGCATCACGCAAATATCTTAAAGTTGCAATCAATGCTTTTTCTTGGACATCATTCAACCACAATGTAGCATTTGATTGATAACAAATGTCAGAACAAAAATCATTGCCTAAAGTTTTTAGATTAAGATAAAAAATGCTTATAAGAATTTTACTTACTTACCTCCAATCATAAAAGTCAATAACTTCCATTGCCTTTTCATGTCAACTCTAAATGTAAAGAACAACGAGTCAATTACAAAATTTCTCTTTAATATAAATTTATTACCTTGGATCTTGCTTCATTCTTTCCATCAATGCACGTGCATTATACGGCATGTCTGATGTCGTTGCAATATTTTCAGCAATATTAAATTGTGCTGTTTTATGGACATTGTAGGAATCTGATAATGAAAAGCCAAATAATTTGGGATTGAAGACTTTGAGAATGTTTGGTAAGGTTAAGTGACTCTTCCAATTTCCTTGTCCACCAATACACCAACTTAGTCCGCGATTTTCAACAAGTACCTCCCATAAACCTACTGAATTTGCAGCTGTTGCTGATGTAAGAGAATCACCCATTGCGGCAATCACATCGATATCTTTTTAAAAAAATTATGTGAATTCAATAAAGCTACTCATCTTAAATTTTCACAAAACTTACCTCCTGGTCTTAGTTGATGAACACTTTTGGGAATCTTTTGACTTCTAAATCCTCGAATATCACATGGAAATAGAACATTGTTTGGCACTCGTCTCTGAAATCTATCACTGTTATGACGTTCACCAGTTCCAGTCACTAATCGATTGTAAAATTCTCTTAATCCACGATAAAACATTCGAATCATCATTGAATTATCCAAACTGCTTGTCACAATGTGATCTTCAAATTCCTGAGTTCCTGTTATATTTCTCAAAATATTTCCTTTTACTCGACTGATTTTTGTGTCGACATTCTGCTGTGCTTCGGATGAAGAAACAACGATAAAAATAAAAGTACAGAAGATTGCTTGCTTGAGCTGCATGTTAAGATACTTCTGCGATTGATGCGTAAAATTTATCTAGAAATGTGTGAAGAGAAATGAGAAAATAAAAAAGTAGCAGATCAAAGAACTTCTAGTGCCATGAATCACGGTCAAGTTAATCAAGGTTTTTAAGAACAAAGGAATGTTCATTAAATGTTATTGAATGGATTTATTATTTATTTTGACAGAGCATACTTGTGAAAACTTGGCAATCAAATGTATGTCTTCAGCATTAAGGAATGAGTCATGTAATTTCTTTTGACAGTTTTATTTTACTTTGCGGCAAATGTTACGTGATATGAAACTATTTGTTGAACGACTTATAAGTGTTAAATTAATTAAGTGATGTTTAATAACGTTTAATAATTTTTTAAGACTTCTTATTTTAAAGAATAAGGAGATTAGAATCGGTTTTTAAGCTTTAGAAAAATTAAAGATGTCAAAAATCGGATATTTAAATCTACAAAAAACTTGCAAAATCGGCTTAGCTTCAAGGATCAGTTCCACATCCATGCAAAGCAATTTGAACTTTGACAACAAAAAAACCTTAAAATGTGACAAAATATTTTTATTTTTTTATTTATTTATCAATAAGCCTTAATCGTTTTTATCAATCATGGTCTATGCTGCTTATAGTGATTCTACGTGGATTAATAACATTTATAATAGTAGCAACTTGTTCGAATAATTTTTACCAATAAAATAGTTCCAACTATTATTTTTCGATCCTTATTCTTTTCTTTTTTATCGATTTAGTAATTTTTGCTAACAATCCTAATAATGAAATTTCCATTCAATTCTTAACTTATGCCAATTAAGTTTTGGATAAATTTGAACTAAACTGTAAGCACAGAAAACTAATAAGCGACCAGAATAAACGATATTCATCAACTAATTACAAACAATTGATAACAGCATGTTCAATGTCCACAAACAATAATCGATTAGTGTGTGCTCCCCACTTGTTGTTACGTAATTTTTCATTAAAATGCAGAGAGAATACTTTAATAAACAGTTTGGATATTCCTTTCACGACTTCTTGTTTAAAATAAATTTGTGTTGAAATGAAATTTCTATAATTCCTATTTTAATTTATGATTCAAATGAAACGGAAAGTGATGGAAATAATGAATTTTTATGACGTTGCAATCGCATTATTTGAAGGTCAGTGATTCGATAAGATTTGTTAAAGTGCAGAATATAGTAAATGCTTGATCAAGTTATGAAATGATTAAGGTAAGTTTCCAAATTTACTCATATTTAAATAATTGAAAAATTGAATTTAAAATAATGGGAATTTTCCACAAAAAGTTACTGATTTAAAGTATTTGATGCATTCAAAGATTATGATAAAGGAATAATAAGATTTAAAGTTATTTAACGCACATTTTAGATATCTAGCTCTGATAAAAAAAAATAAAAGTTTATTTTTAACCTTTTTATCAATTTGATAAGTTCATACTCGTTGAAAATTTCAACAATTTTATTTATCAGATACCTAACAATTACACATTAAGACAAACACCTAAAATTAAAGAAAAAACTGTGGTGTGTTTCATCATGAGTCTAGCTGTATATTTGAAATTAAAGTTCAAGATAACTCAATGTTTCTAGTCAGAAAAGGTAAATAACATTTATGTGAGCCCAATATTTTTTGCAAAAAAACTTTCTTAAATGAATCTTACAGTTTGACTCGTCATTTGATCTTCAAAGTAGCAACTGTTATCAATAATTTGATATAAAACGACACTTGTGAAATTGATTAAGAAATTGTGTTTATTGTTTTGAAGGTTATTGATTAATAATTTCAAATTTGTAAATGAAATTTTCAAAACAAATTCTTATTAAATATTTCAACAAAAGGTTCAAATTCATTAGAATTGATAAGTTATTGTTCTATAAAATTTAAATATTAACATTAATTAAAAGTCATGCAAAACTATAAAAGCTTAACATTATTTAAACGTACTTTGTACATGGGAATCTCAACATGCACATTTTATTATCTAAGACGCTTCATGAGTAAAGAAGCCGATCATTATAAGTATGATAACTATCAGTGCATTAGAACTGATAGAGCAAAAGCCGATGTGTATACATGCATAATCCCTTTGTTTGATAAAAATACATTTATCTTTAATCTTTGGAGTTCAATGATATGAAGTTAATACTTGATGTGTGAACGTAAAACTTATTTGTCGTTATCCCATGTATACATTCAAAGTAAGTATCTCGCATCTAAAGACTCTACATATTAGGGCTTTTGATGTTTTGCTTACGGCAGCTTTTTTTCTGAAATCATGGAAATAAAATATTTTGCTCACTTTTTGATTTCCTAGAATTTCGTAAGTTAAAATAATTATTGTTATTTTAGTACAGCTTAATTTCAATTATTAAGTTCAAACAAGTCATTACCGAATTTGTTTATTTTAATAAAATGATAATCTGTTCTCAAGAAATAATTACAAAGTTTACATGAACTTTAGATGCCCTAATACTGACAAACATATTGACAGATTTTTATTATATTTTAAAATGTTCACAAAAATTATATTTTCATTGCTCACTTCACAGTTCTAATCAAGAGCTGAAAGTGAAAACACATGAGGAAATAAAAATAGCAAATATGACAAATATTAAATTAGATAATTTCGCTAAATTACACGCGTTCGAGTTTCTCAATGAAAGTGAAGAAGATGTAAAAATTGGAACTTTAGAAATTAGAGACTTTATTGAGAATCATTCAGAATTAGATGAGCAGTCAATAAGTGATCAAAGTATAGTTTATTTTTTAAGAGCAAGTAAATTTCAAATTGACAAAGCTAAGAAAAAAATAAAGAGGTTAGTGACATGATTAAATTGAGCAAATCAAAAAATGTCTTTGCCTTATCAACGGCATTGAAATCATTGTTTTTTATTAAAAAAAAATAAATCAGCTGTATTTGATAATAGATCATTTCATTTTGTTGTGATTTAATGCATGCTAATGAATGAAATTCTGATCATTTTCTCGACCCAAAAAATAAAGACAGTTTAATTTTTACTTTGTGCGCTTGTTTACTAGCACGGAATTAGTTGGAACTCAATCAATTTAGTGACAAAAGAAGATTTAATCGGGTCATTAATTCTAATCCTGTCAATTGATATTATTTATGATCTTGTTTAATTATTGAAAGTTTTCTTATTCCACATGTAAAAGACAATAAAAGCATGATGAAAGCCTTATCATTCTTCTCAACGTTTCGCTTCGACGTCATTTACACTTGTGTTAAATAATGTCCACACTTATAAATTGCATTTAGAGTTGTTCGGACACAATTATTCACTTCTATTCGAGATTGACCATTATTAATTTAAGTTTCAGAAATATTGTTTAAAAAACTTTTAATATTTCTATTTTAAACTATGTTTTTTTTTTTAAACTAGATGTCTAATGTTTATTCGCACGTGTAAAAAATGAACATTGTATTTATCGGTAATGTAAATCTTCAAAAAAATTCAACATTGCTGCTTATCAGTTTTAAAATGCTTTTTGGATTATAATAAAAAAAGATTTGGAGATAGAATTTGGGGATTATTTGTTTATTTTTATCGTCCAAAAAACAATGTCATTTATCTTAGTCTTAATTTTGAAAAGTTTTCCATTAATTATGCAACTGCTATGCACAAAAATTATTGATACTGATTAAATAAGAAAGATAATCATAATACATTATTAACTACTGGTTGATTTAAAAACCAAATAAATTGAACTTTGCAATATATTTTTTAGCTACTACACACAACGCCGAGATGTGACAGAATGGTATACTTTTCGAGATCCATTCCTCACTGAAATGAGTGAGCTTCTAGACATTGGAGTCTTTCTTCCAATTCTTCAAAAAGATGAGCAACATCGTCAAATTGTGATATTAAGGATAGCCGCCCATGATCCATCAAAGCATCTGCAGAACAATGTTATGAAAATTGGTATGATGTTACTGGATTATCTTTCAATGCATGATCAGAACCTCTCCGTTTATGGTATTCGTGCAATATTTGATATGAATGGTGTCAAACTCGCTCATGCACTACAAATGACACCCAAAATAATAAGAAATGCTGTAAATGCAATGGAATGTTATCCACTTAGAATTCAGAAATTGGAATTTGTTAATGCAAATCGGGGCATTAACGTGATTCTTGACATATTTCGTTCATTTATGACACAAAAGTTACGTGATAGGATTACAGTTACAAGAGACATTCCCAAATTCAATTCACATGATCACTTGCCAGTTGAATTAGGTGGATCAACAAGTAGCTATCGAGACCTCGCAAAGCACTGGAAAAAAGTTCTTCAAAATAATCATCAATGGTTCAACAGTAGCAGATGAAATTAATTATTATGACAAAAAGGGAAAAATTCTTTTATTGTACTCAACTATTTTTCAAGTTTGAAATGATTAAAAATAATATTTACATGCAGACATAATAATCATAATTCGTAATATTTATTATAATTATAATTATTTTAAAATGAAAAAAGCTCAAAAACTAATAGTTTTCTGTATAGCTCATTAAAAGCACAACATAAAATCATATTCAATTTTAATGAATATTCGCATACATTATATTGTTTTGTAATATATTTAAAATGCATTTGCCGTGTAAAAATATGTTTTTATTCTTATATTTTTTTCATAATTTCTTTTTACGAGTGTTTTGTTTCCATTTAAAAGCTTTTTAGACTCATTTATTTTATATCTTCTTCAAAATATTAATCTTTCTGAGAGTTTACTACAATCCTACATAATTTCTGTGATAGTAATTAAAGAGGAATAGGAGAATAAAGATATACATGATGATGAATATTTACAATGAAACATATTTCTTCTGCTTCTTTCTTTTACATCCAAATTCTTTAAATAATTATTAAATTAAAGGAAATTTAAAGTTTAAAACAAAAATAATTTTTTAATGTTTTTCCAGCCGTTTTGAGTTGAATTTTGGCAGACTTTGTTACTTTTGTATTGAATTGAACAACTCTAAAACATATTTAAAGAATCAAATTTGTTTCCCTAATTCAATTTATTCTCGGATCAAATGAAAAAAATTTCAAAAGAAACTTATTAAGCTCGTTTTTGAAAATAAACTTCCAATCAAAATACATCTTTCTAATTTGTTAACGTCAATTGTTTGACTATTTTGTCAATCTTACTAATTATTGTTTGTTTTTCATTCATTTTTAAAATTCTCATTTTCGAGAATTAATTTCAAGTCTTTAAAATCCCTAGTTCCGTACAAAAATTCTCAACATTCATGCAATAAGCATGATTTTTTTTTATGTTTTTAAAAAACTATTCGACCACAGTTGCTGGATGATGGTGAAATTGCTTAATTAGTTTACAATATTTAAAGTCTTCTATAAACATTATAGATCAATCTCTTAACTAAACTCTCTCCCACCTTAAACAGCTGTGATCTCTTACTAAACAGAGTAATTTGAAATATTTTTTAAGTATTAAAAGTTCATTAATGGCAGTTCAAATGAAGAAAGCCGAAATTAAGAAGAATTTCGAAAGAATAATCAAATCGTTTTAGTACTCATTCATATGGGACTTTAATACGTTTATCTTTATGTGCTATTTTTGTCTGTTCATAAATCAATCAATTTAAAAAGAAATTCTTATCACAATTTTCATTTTCATGAACTTTACAAACCCCAGATTTTAAAACTTAATGATGTCTTTCACTTTATTGATGCTTTCTGTGTTAACTATTGATTGAGTTTAAGTTTGAAGCCATCAAAATTTAAAAGTAAACTTTAAAATCCTAAAGTTTTATGTGATTCATAAATAAAAGTATTACTCAAAGTTAATTTTGAGTAAAAAGTTGATAAAGATTATTGAATCACTACAAAAAATACCAAACAAACTCACATTTGTCATTTAAAAAACTTAAACTTTCAGAACCAGCAAATTATCGTCATCAAGTTTTAAAATCTGAAGTGAGCCAGATCAAATTAGTATTTAAAGTCAAGTTCCTTTCCTTACATTTCCAGAAGAAATAAAATGAATGAATGAGGAAAATAAAGAAAATGAAACTAAAGGGATCAAGCGTAAAACTAAAAAGAAGTCATTAGTTATTTCTAAATGTTACCTAATGTATTAACAATAGTTATGTCCTAGCCTTTTGCTGTTAATTTGTCAATCAATTCCTGCAAAGGTGCCAACTCACGACGATCAATAAGTTGGAACTCTTGTACAAAAAATATAAAATGCTTAAATGATGTATTGAGATGTGCTTCCTCGCCTAGTCGTACAACTTCCGGAAAATGTTGATGATAGATGTGTGCATAGACACGAAATAGCCGTTTTAAAATCGTTTTTGCAATAGTTTGGAAATTTTTCGGGAATGGAACGCCAATTTTGGATGGAAATAGAGTTTCATCGTCTAATTGATCTTGTACCCAAGTCATTAAATAATCAATATACTTTGGTGCACTACATTTGATTGGTTTCTTGACTGTTTGTCCGTCCGCCCAATGATACTCGTATTTCGGACCAGCAGACATGATACTGCACGTGTCTTCTGTACAAAATTCCGTTATTGTGCCATAAAGCATATTAATTTGATTAAAAAAGTCTACAGCTAAAAGAAAAATGAGAATAGAATGCAAATTTATAGAATGAACTGTCTATTGTTGTCGTCACAGGGTTGGAAAGAGGCAGAGTCCTGCCAATTCCAATAATTAATGATATGTCAAATAACTTACTGTTTACAGCAATCCACTCATTCACATCCTCGCCTTCAGGCAATTGCACAGCATTCCTTAAATTTCCCGAGCCTAAAGTGGCTGCAGCATGTTTCATCAAGTCATATTGATGAGTTCCTTCTGGGATATTCTTTTTAGGCTTAAACGTCTTATTCGAACGATTACTAAACAAACAGAACATGAGAGAGAATAATGATGAAATGTTAAATATAATTAGTACTTTTTTTTTGTGTCGATAGGTAGTTTTTTCATTACGACAGCTGTTCAATTTGTGTGTAACTGTTTTCTACACACAAAAAATACCTTACTCTCTTTTTCGTGCATATACTGAATGGAAAGAAATTCAGACACACGAAAAAAAAATGAAATATAAAAGAGAAGAAAAATTGAAAAATTATTGTGGAAATAATTGAAACAATTCTTGTACGAATTAACACTTTAATGATGATTAGATATTCATTAAAGTGAAGAAAAAAATTTAACTAGAAATCTTGCTGAGAATCAATGAACCACAACATAATTACAATCTATTCGGAAAATTTTCCGGAAATTAATTTTCAATTTAAGGTTTTTTCTTCTTTTCTTTTGACTCACTTTTCACTCATTGGATTTGCAAATAACATTATCGTTTACATTTAGAGCTAATTTTTTGGTATCGAAATTGTTTATAAAACAGCTAATAATGTATACATAATCCAATAAAATCACTGTGAATTTTATTAAATTAACAATACACAAAGAATCAAAAATTTCACTTACAAAAGAAATGACATGTTTTTCACACTAAATTTCTCCCACTAATATCAGAGATATCTGATTAAATTTCCTGTTTCCCTGCCTCTCAAGATATTAAAACAATTTTAATTTAGTTCCTATAAAGCTTTTTACGATAATTTCAATTATATAGAAACAAAAGTAAAATTATTATTATTTTTTTTAAAAAAAAAGGTTTTTTAAAATCAGGGCTTATGAAAGTTAAAACTTTTTAAAATAAGGAGAAAGAAAATTTTGAATATTTAACAATCGTTATTTTTTTCAACTTCAAAATTTAATAAATAATTTTACTTTCAAATTTCCAACTTTATTTTTTTAAAATTGATTTTTCCATTTTATATCAATAACACTTCATTTAATAAAGAATTAAGTTAACTTTAATTCATGAAAATCAATCAAAACAAAAACCTAGACTAGGAATGTAGCCTATCATGCTACACAATAATATTCACACCGTACCTTAAAATTTCCTCGCAATTGCTCAGGAAAGATTTAAAACCGGATCGAAGACCACGAATCGATAGCACATTTTCATAGCTCATATTGAAAGTTATTAAAACTAATTTTAAAAATTTGCGTGAAGATATTTTAAAATATTTATAAACTTTATGTTTAGAAACTTTTATTAAATTTTTGAATGCCTGTTGTAAAACCGTTGAAAATAGATTCGAATTTTTCAACATTGCTCAAACTGAGATTGAATTTATGATCTTATTAGAAATTTTATTATTTTTCAAAAATAAAATTGTGAAATAAGTTTTCTGTCTGACCCCCCCCCCGCACGCCATAAGTGAACGGCCCCATTACAAATTTTAAATTTTCCTTTTCTGTCAAAGAAGATAAAAAATAAATTAAGAATTTAAAAGTTTTTCTTTTGAATTGAGAATAATAGGAATTTTGTATAAAATCTATATACTTCACAAGTGGAACTTTCCAAATTCTATGTGAAGTAGATCGAAAGGTTTTTTGGCTATTGCTATTTAAGAAAGTAATCATATCCAATAGTTTTTATGTCATGGAAACCTTACTTTTATTTCTACATTTTGACACCAAAACTTAGTTCTGAAATTGTATCAGTGACAAGAAATGAAAATGATTGGTGTGAATATGAAAACAAAAACATAGAAAAACATCGCACCATAAAAAATATATTATTTTCATTTTCTTTCGATCGATTTTAGGCTATTAAATTAACTATTTAAGTATGTAACATAATATTACTTCTCATTTAAATACAGTGAATCATAATAAGTTGAAGATTACAAGTGTTATTCATTAATTTATAGGTAATTATCTAATACCTGCTCATTTAACCTTTTATGCTCAATTTTTTGCAGGAATTAAAATGTTAAGACATTTAAATAGATTAACATCCATCGCAAGTGCAAGGAATTATGCAATAACAAAGAATCTGTTTGCATCAGCCAGTGTATTAGCAGAAAATAAAGATCCAGTGAATGTTATTGAAAAATCGCAGGATTTGAAGAAACACCGAAAAAGTAAGTCATAAACAGTCAAATTAAGGTCATATCTAATTATTTTAATGTATTATTTTAGGTCAAACAGTTGCTGCCGTATTTGCATCCTTAACAGACACTGAACAGCCACAAACAGAAGCAAAAGATGGCAAAATTGATGTTGATGAAATAATTTTGAACGCAAAGACAGTCAATGGACTGCTGAACATTGCTGAACAAAATAAGGATCTAACAAGGAAGCATGCCTTAAAGGTATACATACTTATTAATAAAGAATTCATTTACAAAAATCTTTATCTCTTACAGATTGTTTCAATTCTGGCTGAATGGACATCAATTGAGCGCGCGAAGCTCGCCGAGTTCGAGAATGATACACGATTTACAAAGTTGTGCCGAATGTTAGGACGTGCTGTCAAAAATAACAACAATAACACTGGCAATATTAATAAGAGATTAGAAAACTTCAGAAATGCTGATCTCGATACAGTTCTTGGCGTTACAGGAGATGATGAAGCAGCAAAGTTAGTAGCAAGCATCACAGTCGAACAAATGGTAAAAGTCTTGAAAAATTTAAGCGTAAAAAAGAGACGCAGCACACCATTATTACGTTCACTAGCTTTTAATATGAGTGGAAAAGAGGAACATCTCAATATCAAGCAATGTTCAGACGTATTGTATGCAATTGCTAGTCTTAACTTTCCTGAACCAGTTTTAATATCGAAACTATGTGATGATATTCAACTGGATTTAAAGAAAAGCGAAATTAAGAAGTCATCAACGATTGGATCGATGCTAACAAGCTTAGCATTTTTAAAATATCGGGAACCAGTCGTCCTAGATTGTTTGTCGGAATGGATTGTCAAGAATCAAAGTATTTGTAGAACACAAGATATTGCTGCTTTGTGCATGACATTAGCAACACTTAATTATATGCCTATTGATTTAGAAGACGTTATCAAGACAAAACTAGCTCCATCTCTTACTCCTTTAGATTTTAAAAACTCTTCTGATTATCTAAGCTATGTGTGGAGTTTAATGTCATTGAATATTCCCATCGATGCGACTTTTAATAACGTTTTAGACAACAGTTTTATTGAGAAATTATCAAGCGATTACAAGAATGAAATTCCAATTCCTGCAAAGATAAAATTACTCAACATTAATGGTGGTGTAAAATTATTTATGCCTTCATATAAAGGTGCTATGCTGACGAGAGAGAAGCATCAAAGCATATATAGTGTACCGTTACTTCTCAATAATGATAAGCAACTTCTCATAAAGGCAATGACAGATGCCTTGAAGAACATAATTCCTGAAGCATGCTTAAGAATTCACCAGGACACAAATATGGGATTTTCTGCTGGTAAGTTGACAGTTTCTCAATAATTATTTTTGCTGGGCATTTAAGTACTCACCCAGACTCCCAAAGTGTCATGAAATCAATTAAATTTTTCCTTAACTTCTTTCCGATTCAGATGCTGAGTTTTACATTGATTCAAGCGCGAATCCAATTCCGAAAGAAACTAATGACAGTAAAAGGTAATTAATAATCATTTAAATCCAATTTACATTAAATCATTTATCTTCATAATAAACGCAGAATTGCATTAATGGTGCACGACTATCATGACTTCTGTCAAGGACCTCATCAACATCTATCAGGAATTGCAGCACTTAATAGTCGACTACTATCAAAAGCTGGATACGAAGTACTTAGTGTACCATATAATGAGTTCTCCGTGAATGATTTATTACTTAAAAGAGTAACGTATCTACAGAAAATTATTAAAAATGCGAGCAAGAATTAGTTAAGTGATGAAAAATAACTACAATTTAAATGTGTATCTATAAAAAAATTTATAATTTCACCAGAAAAAATAAAATTAGAGATTTTTAAAGTTCGCTAGATAGTTTGTGGAGTTTTTTTGATGCATCTAATGAAGACTGTTTAAAATTTAAAATAAAGTGCAGGTTTGATGATTGACAGTCTTGGAATAAATCTAATTTGCTTGTGGTCTACTTGAAAAATTGAAACACAAGAAGCATTAGGAGGTCTTTAAATTAACACGCTCAGAAGCTTAAAACATTTAATTTAGATGTAGCCCAGTTATAATTGTGTTTCATCACAATCGCAGCATAGAGTCAGATTGCGTTTTGGTTCGTTGTACCTTCTTTCAATACTTGAAGTCTCAGCAGTCACTTCTGCTTTTAGAAAATCAATATTCATATTTCATAAGTCATAAGGAAATGCAAGTTGCTCATATAAATTGATGAATTGCTGTATAAGATTTCAAAAACATAAACTTGCTACACATTTTTATTGTCTTAAAATTCCAATTATTCGCAAAACTCACATGTTTTATCGTTCCTTTAATAGCCTTTTATGGCACTACTTAAAATATAATGATTTCTTCATTAAATGATAGCATGTGAAATTATGCCATATTGGGGTTGAGGTCTTCTCATCACATGTCTGAGCTCTATATGTACATTCTATGTGAAGAATGTAAAGCATAAAAGTAAAACAAATATTTAAAGAATTTGTAGCAAAAAAAAAAGGTGAAATATAATAAATTGTAAAGTCAGGTAGAAGATATCAAAAACCGTTAAAATTTAATTAAACTTCAAGATGTGATGATGGACACGCATATGCTACGCCTCAAAAATATTTAAAGACACATCGAGACATAGATTTTTTTTTCATTTGCTTTATGAAAGCACATAATATTTTGCACTCAAAATAAAGACATGATTAATTATTAAAAGTAGACGATTACCTCATTTAATTATGCTGACTCTGAATATTCAAATGTAAGAAGCAAAATATTTTATCATCAGAAAATTTAATGCTTCCGTGATTTCTTAGAAAAAGATGTGCTAATTTCCTAATTTCTTGAATCGGATATTCCATTCATCGTGGAATTGGGTATCAATTAAAACTTGACTTTACTAGCATAGATAGGGAAAGTTAACTTTTTATACAAGACTAATAGTCTGTCTGTTCATCTTTTGGTGCCAAAATCGCTGCTAATATCGAACCGCATAGGATGTTATTTTTGGAACAGTTGTGATCTGAGAAGCATAATTTGCGAACCTCTGTACTCTGACTGTCAATTTTTCTTTATTCGAGATTAAAACTATATCTATTCAAGATTAATTGATAAGTTCTTCTCGATTTTATTATAATACATGAAATGTTTATGAACAATAATCGTGTTTCTTAATTTTTCCTTTTTCTCAATAGATTTCCATCGTTTTAAACCTAATATTCAAACATAAGTTTGTTTTCATAGTAATTATCATAATTTTAACTCAGTCTTTTTCTATTTCAGCCTTAATTAATTTTATTGCTTTCCTTTCATCTCAGTTCTATAACGTTTTTATTTTTCCCTTCTTTTTTCTGTCGCTTGACTTCTAATTTCAAACCCTTCAACAGCTATGTTTTTTTTATACATCAAATCAGAGATCGAAGCCGATTTTTTCGGCTTAACTCAATTTTTGATTTTTTTTTATAGAAAAAAGCCATTTAACACCCATTTTAAGTATTTAAATTGAACTTTACATGCTTTACTATGATTCTGTGAAATATTTTTTCAGCATGTAGCTATAGTGAGCTCAGAATTTCAAGTTAAAGAATGTTAAGCCGAAATTTAAGCCGATCGGCTTAAAATCGGCTAAATTGAAATTCAGAGCTTACTATAGCTACATGCTGAAAAAATATTTCACAGAATCATAGTAAAGCATGTAAAGTTCAATTTATTTTTTTTCTGCATCAAATGTAATTTAATTTCAAATCATACAATTACAGTTATAAAATTTTATTTCATAATATCAGTTAACGAGTCCTTAATTGATAAATTCTTATAAGCAAATTTTCGGTAAGCATTTTTGCTTTACAATGACCTTAGAACAGGTATCTAATGAAACCTAATGAAAGTGTCAAACCTCCTCTTTATTGAAAAAAATAAAAAATTTAAGCTAGAACCTACATAGCTTCTGTTGTGTAAGAAGAATCTGAAGAATTTATTTAAATTTCCAAAATTTCAGCAATCTCTAAAATTATCAACAAACAAAAATTGAAAATTTTGTGTGAATATGAAACCTTATTTAAAAACATTTCATAGTCAAAAACAACCGTTACTTACAAAATCACTTAAAATCTCTATTTAAAAGAGAACTGAAAGAATGATATTTTACAGAAATTACAGCACATAGAACTTCATGTCCTTTCATTGCCAAAAAAAAAAACGAGTCAAAGCACTAAAAATCTCATGTATGTGCAAAATTAATAGCCATGCTCAGTTATAAATTCTCTTTCATTAGTGTCACGTTTCGTGTTTAAGAAATTAAAAGTAAGCGAAATACCAAAAAAAAAATATTTTCATCTTAAATAAAGGCATGAGCAGATAAGAGCAGAAGAAAGACGCACATGTGTGCTGCTTATGAATAGAAGAATAATTCTATCACGAGATAAATAGCTCTTTCTTGCCTCTCATTCTCGTTTTCGCTTTCTTTTCTGCTGTATTATACATACAGATCCCCAATATCAGCATAATGAAAAAGCTTTTTTTTTATGTTTACTGACAAATTACTTTTAAATTACTGCCAATAAATTACAAGTTGTCTCTTTTTGCTGTACATTTATTTTTTCGCGACGCATTGATATGCTCAGACCTCCATATACGAAAAAATATCAACAGTCAATCATTCTCATCTCTCTGAGCTATCGATTTCTTTAATAATTTTTTATCTTAATTTTATTTTTGTACGAATTATTTTGCACATTTTTAGCTTGTTTAAATGCGTTATTAAATTAATTCAATTTTCTCTCTTTGTTTTTTTTTTCGCAATAAATGGAAAATTATTGTAATTACTTTTGCAGATAAAATCAACACTTTTGTTCAAGTGATTATTACATTGCAGGTACAAATTAATTTCCACAAAAACAAAGAATATTTGCAAATAAATTTCTCATGTTAACATTTTAATTATGCATTAGAACATAATCTTTAGCGCTCTGCTTATTTTAGACCCGAGAAATGTATTCCTTAGATTAAATTGCTTGTTATTAATGTTAAATTTTTTCAGACCGAAAGATAACTGGATATAAGAGACAGAAAAGATTTACCTTAATTTTCTAATGAAAAGCTTCGTTCACTTATGACGTCAATCAAAAAATGCCATTTTTAAACCAAAAAACTATAATTCTCTGTCTTTCTTATCACTTTTAACAAGACACGTATGATTAAACTACAAAAAAAAGAATTAGAAAATTTTTTAAGGAAAAAACTTTTTAAAAATAATTTTTTTGGATTTTCTGGACCACCCCTGTCTTGTCACAAAACCTAAGTTTCGCCGCACCTTAACTGAATGATGATCGTTATTATTGAATGAATTTCATTTGAACTGTTTACCAATCTAGTAAAAATAATCAAAAACTTTAAACTTCAACTTAAAAAAATCTTAATAATTTTAAACTCTACGCAAAGTTGTCATGTACGAGATCAAACCATAATTTGACATTCGGGCAACGTTGGATTAAGGAACGAGTCAGGAACTTGAAGTGTAGCGGGAGAAATAGGAACGAGAGCTACAAGATTACCCACGAATGGAATATTGTTAGAACGGACCTGAAAAGTATCATGTCAAACCCACAGAAGATCGATACGAGAGCCTTAGTTTATTTGAAACCTTGATTTGAAGATTGGAAGTTTGATCCTACATAGTATTAAGTCATATGTATACAAACACAAAAGTGTAAAATGTGAATTATTACCGGACAGTATGTCGTCAATAAATGCAAAAAAATGCAATTAAATGAAAAAAATTTAAAAGATAAAGAAAGAAATGAAGGTTTGAGAAGCACTGAAAATTGACAGGAATTGAAGAAAAAAAACTTTGAGAAGTAACTTACACTCCTTGTTAGCCACCATAAATTTATCCAATAATCTTGAAATTTGACCATCGTGTGAATTCACCATAATTAACTACGCATGATATCCACACCAGGTATCGGTCGGTACTTCATATTCTAGCTGATTGTGTTTTACCTAGCATTTAAATATTCTTGTTTATGCTCATCGCTAATGACTATGTGAGTCTTTTTAGTTTTTAGCTTTATGTGCTTTTTAATTTCATTTTTTTTTTCAATTCATTGCTGATGAGAATCAAGAAACAACATGGAAAAAAATTAGCATCTATACCGTTAAATAAGGGAATCTATCCATATAAAAATACGGGAATATTTTAAATATCTCTTTATAATTCTTATTATTAACAACAGCAATTTTAGCTTATCTTTTTCAATGTAATTCATTAGAAGAACAATAACTTAGAATCGTATGTGCTAGAATAAATTATTGTTCAGATAGAACTTCTTGTTGTTACTTTGTACCTCTTTCTTTACATTCTTAAACATTTTTATTAGTCACTTCTATTGTGCTTTTTCAATTACGCTACTTTAATTCAGGGTTTCATAAATTAAAATCTGATGCTGTAAATTATTGATTAAAGATTCCAATGTTGTTTGAGAGTTGAAATCGAGCATCGAAATCTGATTAATTAATGATTTTTGTAGACATAGCAGTTCAGATCATATAAGCACCTTAGTCAAAAATACCTTAAATTGCATCAATCATTCAATTTTGTGCACCTACATACATTCATCATATCTTACATACACGCACTAATTTCCCAAGCTAGCAAGTGAAATCATGTCCAAACATTCTCTCCCATTTTCAACGAGAACCTCTGACCACTCCTATAGACATATTTTCTTCTTTTAATTTCTACGGGTCTCATTAGTAGCTTTGAAGTTCAAGTACTTAATCACAGTTCAAATGAGGCGTTTCAGACCTTCAGTCTATGTACTTAAGATTTTAATGTTATTACTAGCTATCAGCTATGAGTG